AATCAGCCCATCATGATGAATTCATCAGGAATTAACCATGATAGTTTCCAGGGAGAACCGCGAGGAGATCGACCTGGTTGGGTATATTGCTAGCAATGGGATTCTCAGTGTCCATTACTAACAATCCCTTTCCACCCATTAGGTAGCATATTGTCGTGTGTTTCCGACATAGAATCGACCACTCCTTCCATTCCCGTGGTTAAGAAGAGGCAACTAAATGACCTTAATGGTTAAGGGATAAGCAACAGTGTCCCACTTAAAACATTTTTTTTTGTACGACTTAGAATGGCAAACAAGCTGACGGCCCACATGATGGAAAGTGGTAACCGTCGCCTATAGACATGAGCAGTACCATGGACATAACAGAGTATACTGTTTCGCCCATGATACCCCCAATGCGTTGCCATTCCTGAGGACTCAGGTGTTATCCCTCAATAGATGATATTAGATAGACTGCAACATCCAACAGCGTCTTTTTCTTTCATATACTAAAATATATGCACATATGTATGTACATACATATCTTTCACGCCTGTCTCCCTTTAGGGTAGGCAGAAACAATGGAACGCCAAATGCTTCGATTCAAACAAACCTCTTTCGCTTCTTCCACATTTATCAATCTTTTCATACACGCTCGCCGGTTACGGGCACTTTTAATTTGGCCCTTCTTCAGCACGTCGCCTATTTGGTCAACATACGTCCGTCTAGAGTAGCCCCTACCGACATCTCCATTCATTCTTGCTCGATAAATCAAAAAATCATAATAATAAATAATAATTTACTAAAAGGTATCTATTTATTTATTTAATTAATTATCGTAATAAAATCATCACAACTCTTTAACTGCCAACTTTTAAATAGATTTAAATTATCTGAAATAAATAATTAAATAATAAACATTGTATATTTTTATTTATGGTGCAATAAAGAGTTAAATAAATAAATAAAATAAATAAATAAGTTAAAAAACCATTAGCCATAAAACCCCCCTATTAATAATTTAAAGACCATAAATTCGTTTGTCACTTATCTACGGAAGTGGATACCGGCGGGATAAACAAAGAAAATTAAATATTAAAAGCGTCTGTCTATCTTACGTCTGCTAATTTATTTTCAACGTAATCCAACGTCTCGTCCTGGCTTCACTTAGTTTTCTGAAATAAAATAATTAACAGCTAATATAATAATAATGATTTCTCGTGTGGTCCCGGAATAGAATGGGCCACCCCTTCCTTTCCCGTGTCATATGAGGCGACTAAGGGAAGGTGAAGGATGAGTAGCATCGTCTCTCTTAAAACATCTCTAAAGCCTAACTGCGGTTGCCAATCCGCCTGCAGAGCGTAGCAACTATTGGCAAAACTCTCCTAGAGGGAGGCTTATGTTCAGCATTGGACAGTTAAAGGCTGATATGATGATGATGATGATGATGATGATGATAATTACATTTTGTTTTTTTCCAAAAACAAAATAAAGTAATCCGAATCGAACAACTCAAAATTATCATTAAATTAACGACGTAACTACTTAGCTATAAAAAAGATACAGGTATCTAATTCAAGAATCTCTCGGGGGTAAGGGATTGTTAGTAATGGGCTCTAAAACCCCATTACTAGCTATATAACCTTTCAAGTCATCCTCCATGCAGAATTCCTCCTGAAAGCCATCTTGGTAGATTAATGGTGAATTCGTCACGATAGACCGACTGACCCGGTGGACTACCATGAAATGCAATTCCGAATTTTCGGGCTCAATTTCGTATTATTGTGCGTACCGAAATCGACTTAGTAAATGGAGCTTAACATTTCGTTCATCATCAATCCTATCCTAATAGTCCAGTGGAATGATATTTTATTATTTTTAAATAAATTTAAACGGCATGTATTATGCAATTTTAACATCAAAGTTCTGTTTCGTTCGTTTGTCGAAATTTCGGAAAATATTTCATGGTAGACCCTCTGCTTTCATCCTCACCCGTCATCTCACACTGTTGCCTCGCTAGTGTATACCGATAATGCAATCAGGCTTACCATTCCATTTCCGGCCATGAAAAAATACGAGTGCGTTCATTACTTATTGACATTCGAGAGTGGCTTTCATTAAAGTAATTTCCTCGTCTTTAATCTTATGTCTTTCCTCTTAAGCCGCTTAATGTAGCTACACATCACTGTAATCCAATGTGCTCTTTCATATTTGCAACTAGTTTTTACCAGCAACTTTACCCGCTTGAGCAAATATATTCAATGTTCGTTATAGCTACATATGCAGGGGGGGTATCCCACCGATCAGCAGAGTGAACTTTCTTTGGGAATTTTTTTTTTATGCAACTTAGAATGGCAAACAAACTGACGGCCCACCTGATGGAAAGTGATAACTGTCGCCTATAGACATGAGCAGTACCATGGACATAACAGAGTATACTGTTTCGCCCATGATACCCCCCATGCGTTGCCATTCCTGAGGACTCAGATGTTATTCCTCTGTACCCTGTAAATTCACGCCATATCCCACCCTTCACACCAAAACACAGCCATGCAAACACAACTGCTTCACGGTAGAAACACGAATGGGACAGAGGTACCCAAGCAATCGACTTTGTACAAAGTCTCCCTCTGGTAAATATGAACAACATGTGCTATCTTTAAGGAGCCAGCGCTCTCTCTAGAAAGGGTAACGGAATTAATAGTTATGGGATATAAAAAGCTTATTGCTAGCAATGAGATCAGATCGACCTCCACGCGATATACATGGAAATTTTGGTAGCTGTGGGCCAACTGAGCTGTTGCATCCTCACATATCATCACACGCTGGTACTCTACTAGGGTATGCCGATAGTGCTGGCGGTGCTAGCATTCTATTTTCTTTTTCATAGCACAAAGGTGCCAAACAAGCATACAGCTCGTCTGATGGTAAACGATCACTGTAGCCTATAGACACCTGCAACACCCCTAGTGGGTGGTAATAGGATTTTGTCCATTTTGCCACCACTTCCTTTCCCGTGGGTGTCATAAAAAGCGAATAAGATAGGGCGGGTGAATAGATAGGGGGTGGGCAACAGCGTCCCTCTTAAAACATCTCTAAAGCATAACTGCAGTTGCCAATCTGCCTGCCAAGCGTAGTAACTGCTGGCAAAACCTTCCAAGGGGGAAGCTTATGTTCATCAGTGGATAGTTGAAGACTGATGTGATGTGTTTCAACCGTGAAGCAGTTGTGTTTGCATGGCTGTGTTCCGGTTTGAAGGGTGGGATATGGCGTAAATTTACTGGGTACAGAGGAATAACACCCGAGTCCTCAGGAATGGCAACGCATGGGGGGTATGGTGGGCGAAACTGTATACTCTATTATGTCCATGGTACTGCTCATGTCCATAGGCGACGGTTACCACTTTCCACTTGCTATTCTAAATTGTAGAAAAAAAAAAAGATGTTGATACCCATGAGTCTACTGCCAATGGCTTACCCTTATCTTAGCGCTTTAACAGTATAATTAACCGCTGAGAACTAACCCGACAAGTTTAGCAAAGCTCCACGTTTCGCGTGACCATACCGTTTAGTGAATACGCGCAGACCAGCCTCGCGAGTCGATTCTCTTTATAAGTTAAAGGTACCAACAAAGGAATTTGATTCTCATGATATGGCATCCGTTATATTCGTTGCTAGAGCTCTTATTGAGGCAAACATCGAGTATTGGGGGAACATCATACAGTAAGGGGAGAAGGGATTGTTAGTAAAGAGACTAATAGCCCCATTGCTAACAATACGAGGTCAGGTCGTCATCCTCATGGTTCCCTCAGGTAAACCATCGTACTGAGTTTCAAATAAACTAGTCACGGTGGCTTGTCTTTTCATCTCTCACTGGTACCCCGCCAGCGTATATCGTTAACGCAGACGAGGATTACCATACAATTATCATCCATTTTAAAAACACATCATACAATGGAGAGACGACCGAAGAGTGCTACTTCAATAGGTTAATGGTCAGCCACCGCGGGCAGCCTCTTCATCATCCGGCTACACACGAGTCCATGTAACCCAGAGGCAGTGCTCACTACTGCATCTCTCATAATGGGTGGATTTGAAACAGTATTCAGTAGATCAAATGTTAAACCGCAGTAAAACATAAAGCGAACGCACAAAATCTGTAAGATGATAGAGTAAGGCATGAGGAAACACAAACGAATTCCAATGGGTCGAAAGGTGATGAAATGTGATGTGTGTGAATCTATAAGCGAACATGAGATAATGGGTGAATAAAATATATATAATCATATAGATTTTTTTAATTTTCGCTTTTAATTTCCGCAACAATATCGTGCACGTGCACAAACTGATAATGCCTTGCACGTGAATGGAAATTTAAAAGCGTCTCCATACAATTGCATATCATTTCGCTCTCCATTTATATCGTGACGGTAAAATCGTACCGTATCGTGCCGTGATATGGTTAAAAAATCGTCTATTAGGATGATTTTCAATTCTCTCTAATCTGTAATTCCTCTTTCATACTGGCATTTCATGATGTTGTAAATTTCTCAATTTATTGTATGTAGTAATACATTATAGATGTACCTAGTTTAAAAAGGATAATGAATGAATGAAATCTCTTTATTGTACCTTTCAAATGTTTTGTATTTTTGTAAACTTGCAAAGGAAATATATAAATGAAACTATATTTTAATATAATAATAATAAAATTCATCACCCTGTGTTCTGACGATAGAACAAAACAAAGTAACCTAAACGTAATCATTTATAAGTTCATTTCCTAAACAGGGTCATTCATGATTCGAATTTTAGTCTTTCACGTTAAGCAACGCGTCTACCGCTATACCGCGAAGGACGCCCATAATGGTAAATAGATATACAACCACATTACAACCAGAGTCATTTCCAGCGATAGGAAACTCAGCACAACGTTGCACAAGCTTTATTTGATAATCAATAGCCGTGCGTTTAGTTTTATTACACGGAAATCATAATAAATATAACAACAAACAAACATACCGATTAATAAATGTTTTATCACGTCTGTAAATAAAATAAATGTTTCAAATTCATGTAATTGATGCAAAAGTAGGCAGCGACGCTAAGCGTGTGAAGAAATGAGATACCTATATTAAGTTCATTCCGTCGGCTCGCTGAGTTCACTGAGTTCTCACACTACACTAAACTAATCACTCAAGTTTCACTACAACGTTATGGCACTGTCACTGCTAATGTTTTTAATTTTAGATTATGTAATTCGGTTTTGTGAGTTGCATGGCGCGACTAAGGCGCACTGAGTCCGAATGCAGACAGAAATGGCGGAGTGTTGCGCGCGCCGCCCGCCCTACGGTTAGTGGGCTATTTCATTAAAACGACAGACTTGGGCATTTTTGGACAACGTAAAATATTTTTGTTGCCTCGTTTTACGAGCACTTCTATATATGGCTTGTAATTGAATGAGCGTACTTTATTTGCATTACATAACATAGTGTTTAATTATTAAACAAGTGGGTATGCAAATAAAGGAGATTAGAAATAATACTTACATAAATTAAAAAATATTTCTAAGTATAAAAATTAGCATAAACCGCTTCAATTATACATGTATAGAAAGAGATAACGAATTGTAATTATTTATATAATGAGAAATTATATTTGTCGGTAAACAGATCACTTTGTGAATAGATTATTTTTACTAATGTTTCGATTCGCCCTGTAGTCGCGGCATAAAAAGGGCCACCCCCTCCTTTTCCGTGGATCTTGTAAGAGGCGGCTAAAGAAACTTAAATGTTGAGGAATGGGCAACTGCACCCCTCTTAAAACATCACCAAAAACCTAAGTACAGTTGCCACACTCTCTGCCAAGAGTGGCAACTACTGTCAAAACCTGACATGATGGCTGATATGATGATGATGATAATTTCGATTAAATTACTTAGCTACATGAATAACGATAAACACCGGTAGTCAAGTAGTCATTAACTTTGGACAAAAAAAAACATCTTTTTTGCACTTAATATAATAGTATATATACATAAACCCAATTATTCATAAAAATAAAGACCTACGAACCTATTTTTTTCATTATAATGTTTTGTTATCACTTATATTGATACAGCATACAATTGTTTATTCCATAAAATTAAAAAGATCTGAATTTTTTTCCTTAACGTTAAGTTAAACTTTTAAAAATATTTCTTTTTCAGTCATACTTCACAGAATCAAGGCCAATGCCAATACCGAAACACTAGAATATAAAATAGTGACTAGATTAGCATCCACACTAAGATATGATTAAAATCTTGTAGTATTTTTCATAGGAAACCATATGTCACCATGTATAGAAAAAAATAAACTTCCATTTGGTGTTATCAAAAAGTACGATTAGTTAACCAAATTATCCAAAATGTTCACATATTTTCACATGGCAGTCCTTGATTGCGGCTAACTGAGAACAGATAATCCGTGTGCATTGTAATATATTTTCGCTCTTCTTTCATTTAAATCAAGTTTAATTTAAAAGTTATATTTAGCGGCTGAATCTTAGACTATACTGTAATAAGCCATTTCGTAACCAATTTTTATTTTACAATTTTAGTTAATAAAAGTAGTTTTTGATCAATTACTAGAGACTTCAATAAATAATACACAATAAAATTAATCGCCGTAATGGAACTCCACCTTAATCTAGACAAAAGGCTCACACTTTGTAACATTCAGCGTTACCCCACACCCCGTCGTGCGCCACTCACATACAACCAAGCTCAACCTATCCATTGCTCCGTAACCTTTCAACGAACCTTTACATTTACTAAAACACCAAGTGATGGTTACAGTAACGATACTAAACAATGTGCGTAATGTTCAATTTTTAGTAAGAGAAAGCAAGGCGGCGTGAAAAAAAATGTTGATTTTCTTGAACAAAATCTCTTGCTCAGAAGTGCAGTAAGAAATTGAGTGTAGATCCTTTATAAGGCCGCCTAATAAAGATATCAATGTTTAAATACAAGAATGTATGATAGTGATTGCCCTTTATTTGTTCCGGAATTTTTTGGTAGATAATATTTCGTATAAATATGAGCTTTTAAACAGTTGTTTATATTTGTACGCTGCCATTTACAGGTTCGGATTGAATGTAAAGTCACGGTTTATATTTAAAGAAAAAAATGTTACTTACCTTTCATTATTTACTATACTGACTTTTTAGGTTATTTTACAAATAAGATTTACGTGTTATTCAATATTTAGTAACAAACATAGTTACATAAACAAACAACATAAGGAAAATATATAAAAAAAGTCATTTAAGGTCGCATAATGCTCTCTGTAAACGTTTATAAGTTACAGTAACCATTTGGCATCAGATGAGCCGTATGCAAGTTTGCCACCGCTCTAGTATAAAAAAAAAATGAAAATTTATAAAAAAATAAATAGCACAAATTTCCGTATCGTGATAGAGTACAAATACAATGTGTCATCACTCTTTTTTTATCACACTTTTTTTATTCAACTTAGAATGGCACGCACGGAGAAGACCCACTTGTGATAAGCGTCGCCCATAAATATTGCCAATCCCCATTCCTTACAATCCCCCCCCCCCCCCCCACACATGGCTAGTATGGCTAGCCACATCTTATATAACTAAACACTTTAGCTTTAAAATAATTAAAAAAATATAACAAGTGTATTGATTTGAAACGGGTTTTAATCCACTGTATTTTATAACTGAACTGCTACATTTTTTTTATTATTATTATTATCTACCTCTTATAAGAAAAAAAAACTTTGATAAACTTAAAGCCTTTAAAATGTGGTGCTGGAGAAGGATGGAGAAAATTAGCTGGAGAGATCGAATTAGTAATGAGGAGGTCCTGCTTAGGGTTAAGGAAAAAAGACAAATTATTAGAACTAATGAGGACAGAAGGGGAAAAAATGTCGGGACACTTGATACGACATGACGAACATATGAACATTGTAATAGAAGGTAAGATAGAAGGAAGGAGGGGGAGAGGTAGACCGAGACATAGTTACATCAGGCAGATCAAGGAGGGAGTTGGTGTCGTGTCGTATCAAGAGGTGAAGAGACTCGCTAAAAATCGTAGTGAGTGGCAAGAGCTCCACCGACAAGAGCGCAGCTCTTAAATGGGATAGATAGATAGATAAGAAAAGACCCATGTTCAACATACGAAACATCAATGGGCTATTCTAAAGGTGGGAAAATAACGGATTTAAATAATCCCGTAGGTATATGTAGGTACGTAAATTAAAATCCGGCCCAAAATAATTAGCAGTACGGGCTCACCCTTAACCCTTTTAATTAAAACCTTTAAGAATAATTAAAATTCGTTAACAGTCGGTGAAGATATCACATTATGCTAAAAAAAATTGTAGATTTTTAAAATACCTAAAATGGCAAACAAGCTGAAGCTTAGAAATGGTAAGTGTCGTCTATAGACATCACAGTATACACTGTGACACCCACAATACCACTTATGTGCTGCCATTCCCGAGAACTATGGTATATGCTCGCATAATCCGTAATTTCATCGCCATACAAACCAGAGGGAGACTTTGTATAAAAGTCGATTGCTTGGGTACCTCTGTCCCATTCGTGTTTGAACCGTGAAGCAGTTGTGTTTGCATGGCTGTGTTTCGGTTTGAAGGGTGGGATATGATGTGAATTTACTGGATACAAAGGAATAACACCTGAGTCCTCAGGCATGGCAACGCATGGGGGGTATCATGGGCGAAACAGTATACTCTGTTATGTCCATGGTACTGCTCATGTCTATGGGCGACGGTTATTACTTTCCATCAGGTGGGCCGTCAGCTTGTTTGCTATTCTAAGTTGTATAAAAAAAATACAAAAAGTGTAGTTATATCATACAGAGAAACTAATGCCATTGTTAAATATGAAAGTAGATGGATGTAAAGAATGGGGACGACTGAAGAAAAAGTGGTACATCATCATCTCAGCTATTCTTCTGTCCACTGCTGCACATAGGCCTGCCCCATAGACTACCATAACGAACAATCCTAAGCCAGCTGCATCCACAAACACACCAAGAGGCGTGGGGGGAAAGGGATTATTAGCAATGGAGTTTGATAGCCCCATTACTAGCAATATGCCCTATCAAGTCGACCTTCACGTGGTTCCCCCTGGAAACCGACGTGAACAATTCTTGTTAAATTCGTCACGATGGACTAACTGACCTACTTCATCCTCACCTATCATCCTTCACTGGTACCCCGCCGGTGTATATCGATAGCGCGGGTGGGGTTACCATTCCATTATCATCCATTAAAACAAACACATTAAGAAGTAACAAACAGACATCCGCATTGAATAATATTATTAAAGATAATTTCTACTAATAGATATTTGCAAAATCCGCCTCTACAAATGAACTAGCGTATTTCCCTGTTAGTTAATTCTATGTGCAGCTCCCATACAATTTCACTCGACCCGTTTAAGATAACGTCAGCGATGCGTATCCCGAAATAAGGGGATAATCCTCCGGTTTGTATGAAATAATTGGGATTAGCCTTTGTTTCCCCATAATACTATTTTGATACCAGCAGCGGACATTTCGTAGACTTATGAAACTATTTACAGATATTCCTTCTTTAAAATGGTGTTTTTTTTTTTAATTGCTTTAATCACGATAGATTTATGTTAGTACATACCTATAAAATAGAGATGGGTAATATAAATACAGATCCGATATCTCTATATTGGATTCCTCTGGACATTGATGACGGATAAAAGGTCATCACTTATTTCGATATCACCCGTATCGGGCGGATATCTATTTTCGAATATATTAAGAGTTTGTTACCCAATATTGTTTTTTAGATAACAGACTTTTAACATATTTGTTATTAAACCAGTACACAGATATTGTGTATTAAAGTATAGAGATATTACTATATGTATTTATATTACCCACCCCTACTACAAACTTATATTACAGTTAATATTAATGTAAAACTATATAAAAATAATAAATAATAATATATAAATAATAATAAATAAATTATATAATGATAATATTAAATGTACTCGTATATATATGTTACGCTTTACATACAAACCCTATAGGCATTTTCTCTTTTAGGATTGACTAAAAGAAATCTCTACAAAGGATAAATCCGCGTATTTTTTTTTTTTATAACTTAATATCTATATTTAACGTGAATATACAATAATGTTTATAAAAACAAATAAACAAATTACTCAAACACACAATGAAAACTACCTAATTTAATATGAATAATATATAACGCTCGCAGATATCAACTGATAGCCCACGTCTAATATTATCTACTGGGTTTTTATGACTGATAATTTTGCGAAAAGATATTATTCTAAAATAAACCTATTCTCATTATTATCAAACATACGCTGGACAATTAGAAACCTGGCGACAGAAGTACCTATATTATCGTAATTTACTTTTCACTACATAGTATAAAACAAAGTCACTGTCGCTATCTGTTCGCCCCTATGTATGCTTAAATCTTTAAAACTACGCAACGGATTTTGAAGCAATTTTTTTTTTTAATAAATAGAGTGATTCAAGAGGTTTGTATGTATAATACATACATAATATTGTAGAGAAACACTGATAATTTTAAAGTTTTATATCGTGACGTGATATAATGGACACCCATGCGAAGCCGGGTCGGGTCGCTAGTATTATATATAATTAAACGAATATAATAACAAACTGTCATTAAATGACTACAATATTATAATATGTGAGGATAAAGCCAAGTTTTGTTTTTAATTGATTAATATGAAATGATAACCTCGCCAACACTTTGGATATATGCTTGCAGGACACCAGTGAAAGGTAATAAGTGAGGATGAAAGCAAGTTAGTTCATCGTGACCAATTCACGTCAGTTAGCCTATAGTGAATTCACCAAAAATTAAGCAGTAGTTTTCATGAATCATAAGGTTTCTCGAGAAGCATAGGTATTTTTTAAGGAGCGTCGGGAAGGCTTTGTCCATCCCAGAATTATCTGACCTTTTAATAGACCAAGATGCAGAAGCAGATATTTTTGCTATCTACTCTGAGACTACATATGCACTTTTTTCAAGAGACCAAGGTCATGCTCCTAGAAAGTAATCTGAAATACGCCAATGTCGGAGCGACTGCATGGAAGTTAACCTGACAGAATGTTATTAACAAAGGGATCCATAGTTCCCATTACTAACAAACCCTTCCCTTATAAGATACTATTTTACATTATTATACATTATAATTATACATATTTCACACATTTCATTCATTACTTTCGCCGTCAGTTTGTCATTTTAAGTATTATAAGAAAGATACTGGAAATTTATTCGTAGCTTTATTAAAGTATACTTCAAAACTCAATTAAAATAATACTTAAATCAAATAATATACTCGAGTACTCATACAACTAATCGAATACTCATCATAGTCAATGCTTCTATCAGTATTTGATACTTATATTAATGAGTACCTATCAAAATACACGAATTCTAAAAAAGGACTTACAAAGCACATCACTATGGATGCCAGTCATAGGTCAGTCATTGTCACTGTCATTACTATCTGTCAGTCAGGCTTTTACAGCAGTTTATTATATCGCTGCAATTTTATATTTGCATTACTATAAAAAATACAATTTAAACATATTTTATTAATAAAATGAATTAACAACCTTCTAACTATGACTACTCAGTACAAGAAATTTACTAAACTCATAGCTAAATGGCCTGTTGATAGCAGCAAAGGCGAAAGGTTAGTACAAATAATAAATACGAGGTTATTTTCTGATTTACAAAGTATATTTCTTTAATTTATATATATTAATTTCACAGAGACCTTGGAAAATTCATTAGAGAGAAAGTAAAGGCGGCGTTCGAAACTGCTAATAAACAAAATCTAGACTCGGAACTTTGCAATCGGCAATACAATTCCCTAAACAAAATAGCCGATAATTATTATAAAAACAAATACAAACGTACAAAGAGTAGCACAGCGACTGGCCTTAGTACTGAAGAGTGTAACTTAATACTCTCAAACGAGGTCTTAAATTATTTGAAAGAAGAAAATAAAGGCTTTTTCCGTAAAATATTTAATTAACCTCAAAATGCATTTCAGATTATTACATAAGTCAATATTTATTAGGAAACTCTCGACTAAACCCATCGAGTACAAAGACCATATCCCTGTTATGTTAAATAAGGCCATAGAGTACCTCAATCCTAAAGATAATGAACTTTATGTGGATATGACATTTGGTGCCGGTGGCCATTCGAAAAAAATACTTGAAACAGCAAATTGTACATTAATAACTTTAGATAGAGACCCTGTAGCTTATGAGAAAGCCAAAAACCTAGCCAAGGAATACCCAAATAGAGTAATCCCATTATTGGGAAGATTCAGTGAATTGCCAGCTCTTTTTAAAACTCAAGGAATTGAACAATCTAGTATTGATGGCATATTATTTGATTTTGGTTGTTCGTCAATGCAATTAGACACAGGAGAAAGAGGATTTTCAGTCAGCAAAGATGGCTATCTAGATATGAGGATGGATGCCGGTCGAGATCCTAACCAAATCACTGCTAGGGAAGTACTTGCAACAGCAAACGAACATGAACTATATAAAATATTCAAGATTTACGGTGAGGAGAAAAAAGCTGCTAAAATTGCTCAGACTATAATACAAGCTAGGTACATGATAAAGAATATTGACACAACTAAAGAACTGGTTGATGTAGTAAACTCGTGTTGCCCAGATGAAGTTAGATTAGACAAACTGCAAAGGCCCCAGTCAAATGCTACGAAAGTGTTCCAAGCACTAAGGATATTTGTAAATAATGAATTGAACGAGTTAAATTATGGCATGGTACTAGCTAAATACTATTTGAAATTGAACGGGAGACTGGTTACAATATGTTTTCATTCTTTAGAGGATACAATAGTAAAACGGCACATAGGAGGGAATACAATTAATGAAGTAGCAAATCCAGTCCCATTGAAATATCACAGCCCCTTGTTAGTTCAAGACCAAGAGACTATAAATGAATTTCTTGACACACCATGGAAACCACTAAATAAACATGTGGAAGTTCCAACTGATGAAGAAGTAGAAAGAAATCCCAGAAGTCGGAGTGCTAGGTTGAGAGCTGCAATAAAAATAAAATAATATTATTATATATTTAAAATTGGATTAGTTTAATTATTATGTCAAGATGTCAATACTGAAATTTTCAAATTTATGTCGCCATTGTAAATGTAATAAACCATGTGTTGTAAATTGTTAATAATATTTTTTATTCCTTTAATATTTCTGAAGTTTCCTTTTTTTATCAAAAATTTAATTCCAAATTTTTTTAATGATGTGTATATAATAGTATTGAGACAATTAGTTTTGGATGAAAGGGGATTATTAGTAACGTGAATTAGCAGTCCCAATGCCAGCAGTTTTACCTGTTTACCTCTATGTTGTTCCTCTTGGAAACCATCATGGTTAATTCTTGAATTTACCATGATGAACCAACTGATGTGTGATCATTACTCGCTGGTCCCCCGCCAGCGTATACTGATAGCGGAGGCGGAGTAACCATTCCAGTATCATCGATGAAATACTTTATAATAATACCTTTTTTACATAATAATAACTTAGTCTTAAGAAAAAACAAGGTGTATATATATATATATAAAGCTCAAAACATAGCAGTAGCAAACACGAGCTTCCTTTATAGTCAATTATCACGACATCAAATATGATCATATACTGTCAAAACCATCATGTACTGCCAAATGTCTTGTTCGTATCCTTTACTGACGGGCATTCCAAGATAATAATAAAATTAAAAATATTTCAACTTATTAATGTCCCTATGCCCTATTACTATATCTCTTTATAATACAATGAACGCTCTATATAAGCAACTCATTTCAACCAATTTCAATAATTTTTTTTATACAACTTAGAATGGCAAACAAGCCTACGATCCACCTGATAGAAAGTGGTTACCGTCGCCTATAGACATGTGCAGTACCATGGACATAACAGAGTATACTGTTTCGCCCATGATACCACGCATGCGTTGCCATTCCTGAGGACTCAGGTGTTATTCCTCAGTACCCTGTAAATTCTTATTGGGAAAGTTACTTATAGGAAAAAAAGGAGTATAAGTACACTTACCGTCTGGAAAATATTTTTACTTATGCCTTTAACTAATTAATCTGAGTACAATAAATGAAATATAAAAAATGTTGCTTATATAGGACGTCCACTGTATATAATTCATATTTTAGAATAGTCTCGTGTCTACTATGCACTTCTATCCAAGTGGCTTAGATTGATACCCTTTAGAATTCCTTCTAAAAGATTACAGTACTAAACTTATGACCTCCGTATTCTATACTTCTCTCTATATTTATTTTTCATAGTTTTTATATGTATTTTATTTTATTCCTCTAATCACCACTTATAGAATTGTTATTACTTCATCACCACAGATTAACCAAAGAAATAAAACTATATAATGAAATTATGATTTGATTTATTTATTGCCTTAATATTGTAATTATAACTAACATTAATTAAGGATTTTTCGCATTTACAGAACATTTTGAATCTAACGTCAGTTCCTACGTCCATACACTCCAATTGCGATATAATGAAGTAATAATTATACAAAATATATAATTGCAAGTGAGGAAAATGCAACATCTATTTTAAATTACGAATAGTGATGGAATCATTGGCGTGTTTAAGGTTGCAGGGCTTAAGGGGAGCTGGCCTGTATAGAAAGGTAGTTTATGTACTTTTTAAACATGTCTGCGCATAGCTGTAAATTTCTTTCACATTTTAGGGTAAACACCAAACAATACCGTGGCAAATGCAGACTACCACGGTATTGTCTACCTACCCGACCCCCACCATCTTAAATACGCCTATAGATGGGCCTAGGTCTAGAATTAGATTTTTAAAAGCACGGTTTAATGAACAAACTCACATATTTATCCTCTCTCAATAATATTTGAATGTAAATACATTATATTGCCATTATAAAATTTATTTCGTTAAAAATATAATTTATTCGTACTCCTATGTATATTATACTACATTTTTTTTAATTATTAACGTAATCCAAGTATAGAGTGAGAATTATACTTCACGTTAACTATGTACATTTGTTCAGACAAACACACACAGTTATGTAGTGAAAATTAAATACATATATATAGTAATTAAATACACAATTTAAAATATTCATTGATCATTCTCATTGAACAATTTACATTCAACATATGCATAATACTCAAGCCAATATTCAGTCAAGCAAAGCTTTAAAATGCCATTGCGTCTAAATAAAAAAAAAAACACCCCACAGCTGGAATGTGGTAAAAGGTACGGGTAGCATTTTTAAACTTTTAAAAATGGCAGTGACAAATAAATGATAATAATAAATAATAAAAGGGATATACCATATAAAGGCGTATCCATACTGTGAAAATTTTCCTGCGCCATTTTTTCCGCTTACATTTTTGTAAAACTGAAATTACGCAGTCGCGGAAAATGAAAATTATCTTCTATAAGCGGAAAAACTGTATGGTGAATATTTTCAGTGAGAATACGCAATATTATGTTAATAAACAATGTGAAATGCTGATACATCAATCAACAATGTATGAAAATATTTACATAGCAATGTAGTGGGCACCGTCGATCAACATCCTAAGCGCTAACAAATAGTTTACATTACTTTAATCTAGTATAACTATACATAAGTGCTACATAGTACTGCACTTTTTTAATAAGAAGCAACTTCAAGTGCAAAACTTGTGATTTGCTTTTATATATAACATTTGATAGAAATAATATTTTCAAAAAATAAACAATATTTTGATTTTAAAAGTAAACTACTATACCAATTATAAAATCTCTACTCGAGACCAATATGTAAGTATATCCTTTCACATAAAAAAAAAAGAATTTTCCAAATTTAGTTTACAATTAATGGAGTAATAAAGTAACAGGCATAAAAAAAAACATCTGAATTGAGAACCTCCTTTTATAAAAAGTCGGTTAAAAATAAAAACCAATCAGCTCAAATATCGTGCTAAGATTTAAGACTTCTGCCTGTGATTTAATATTTTTAATTTAATATATAACTAAAATCAAATTAAAAAAATACTAATAATCTTAGGGTGTATTTTTATTGAAATAACTGTGTACAACTGTTTCCCGCGGCTTTTCCCGCGTTCGTCAATACATAAAATATGTATTAAGATATAACACACTCGTGTACCAAATTCCGTCCAACCAGGATTGAGTAACAAAAATACAAATCTCACATTTATATTAGTAAGATTTGTTTTGTTACTAAATGTACAATATGTATGTAAATTACTAACTTCAATAAAAAGACATACAAAACAAAAACCACCGTTTTGTTTGCTTTGTTTGTGCTTGCGGTGGCTACTTGTTTTTAAACTACTTATTTAGTTATATACATAATCAGGGGCGCCGGAGAAAACCTAGTGGGATGCTAAGGCTCTTTTGATATTTTTTTAATGGGTAAAAATGTAATACCCCGCCTGCACTAATAGTATACGATAGTGGGGATCCAGTGACAGATGATAAATGAGAATGAAGGCAGGTCAGTTAGCCCATCGTGAAGAATTCACCACGATGGTTTCCAGGGGGAACCGCGTGGAGATCGACCCAAGAGGGTATATTGCTAGCAATGAAGCTGTCTTTTGATAATCATCACCATTATATCAACTTAAAACCAGACACTGGTTGCTGAACGAGCAAATGGGAACTAAACAGATCATGGGTTGAGGATTATTTCAGTTCTGTTATGATGTCCAGCGTCATGGATGCTCCGCATCCACGGGGTCAGCGCCCCTGTACGTAATAAGTCAGGAGAGAAATGTCTAATTTCAGGCGTGATTGATTTATCTTAATTATATGGCGAATTCAATTTTTTTTTATACAACTTACAATGGCAAACAAGCTGACGGTCCACCTGATGGTAAGTAGTAACCGTCGCCTATAGACATGGGCAGTACCATGGACATAACAGAGTATTCTGTTTCGCCCATGATACCACCCATGCGTTGCTATTCCTGAGGACTCAGGTGTTATTCCTCTGTACCCTGTAAATTCACGCCATGTCCCACCCTTCAAACCGAAACACAGCCATGCAACCACAACTGATTCACGGTAGAAACACGAATGGGACAGAGGTACCGAAGCAATTTTTACAAGGACTTTTGTAAAGTCTCCCTCTGGTAATTGATTAATTTACATGAAACCTGACCAAAATAAACTTTATATCGAGGATATAAAGTTCGATATTCCATGCCCAAATATTGGACATGATTCTTAATAGTAACCTTTAAGTTTAAAATTGTTGTTATAATAAAATCATATTGATTTTCAAATACATTTAGTAATTCGATACAAAGCCGAAATTCTATTAATTTTAGGATCGTCATGTATAGATCATATTCGCATTTCTTAACAAGAAACCATTATAATCTATTAAATAACCATACAGACATAAATATGAAAATTAATCAGTACTAACGTAGGCGAGAAGTGCCAGCATTGCATTTCTTTATTCTTTATAAAAAAATATAGATATTATATTGTTACAAGATATGTTATTTATAATTTTATTTTATATGCTTTTGTACACTCACTTCTAGTATAGATATTAGGTTATAACAAAAATTTACACAGGCAGACTTATCCCTTAAGGAAATTTCCAGTCAACCTTGGAACTTATATACAAATTAAAGACATGCAATGGCAACACTCGCTCTAAAGAAGCTACAAAAATTATACTGGCAATACCAAAAATTAACAAAACCTGGGCTTTGGAACTAAATACATTATTACTTAGAATATGGAAGTACAGTCAACGAAACAACTACAGTCGCAGACACTTGGAAGATCTGAGTGTCGTCACAACTTTATATCTTAGCTGTACCGCTCCAGGTTCCTTATTGTCCTCGCTCTTTGTCCTGTTATGTCCTGTTGACTGATGAGAGGACGTTGGCCTTGGCCCGGTCGGTGGCGGCGGCCGCCGCTTCCCGCATCTCCTTCAGTGTGTGCGTCATAGGCGTCATGGTGTGCTGCGAGGGCACCTGCCTCGGGAACATACTGTGTAGGACGTGGTTGAACCCGTTAACCTGCGGGCAATAGTAACAATATTAAATATATAACAAATATATTTCAAAATAAGAACTTTGGTCATATCTATGGAGAATTTTAACATTAAACGAGCCAAATGCAACTTGAAAGTCGAGTTATATTTTTTTCTTTTTTTAAGGCTATTTGAAATAAACAATTTTTTCTCTCTTTCTAACCGCATAAGAAACATGAAGATATCTTTATAAATAACGTAGAATAAAAATAAAAAATAAAAAGCTGCAATTATCTCAAAAGACTAAATTCTAATTTAAAACAATATATAAAAATGTAGTACCAAAAGTAACAAGTCACTGACCCCGTAAATGTCAAATCTATTTTTCGTTTAATTTAATTTCTTTACATTTGTTCAATTCGATTAATGACCTTTTACAAGATTAAATAACCATTATTATTTTCAAAAAAAAAAAAGTAATTAATAACACGTTAAATAATGTTAGATCCTTTTACACCAAATATACTTTCTTTTTAATATTACATGGAAACAGACAGAAGTCAATTTAGGACTATTTCCACATGATACTTGCAGTACGTTGAATGAATAAATTGGATACAATTCAACTATTTCTAAAACTATTGAATATACAAAAAAACGTATAATTCCATAGGAAAGAATACACAAAATTAAGTATGCTCAATTTTCACACATAATTAGAATTAAAAAAGCAAATTAAAAATATTTTAATTGGCTCTCTGGAAAAGTAGCAAATTTGAATTGTAGCGTTTCTCACTAGAGACATAGATATGTAGTTTATAACGGATATTTCATCATCGTCATCATCACATCAAATAGTGTATTCCTTTTTTTAAATATATGGGTTGTAATATAGGGAAATAACAGAGGCCTATATTAAATAGTAGACAATTAACGACTGATATGATATATATATAATTTTTAAACTATAAAATATATGTTTAAAAATAATAATGAAATTGTTACTATTTTAAGCATTTTGTTTGTTTTTTTTTTTATTTTTTGTACATGTATCTTTTTTCTATCTCTTTTCACTGTGCATTTATGTCTATTATTGTTGGTATGCTGTAAGTAATGCAAATAAATTATCTATCTATCTATCTAAATTAATAATAAATAATAATTATATACATACACTATCAATTATATAGAGTATAAATCTAGAAATAGAACAGACCTCGTTCTGTGCACTTGTTGACTAGTTTGCTATGATTTTAATAAATATATATAGTTCAATATTCCGCCTCTATAGAGCAGTATGTTCGTATGACGCAATGGAGACGTCAAGGTCAGTGGTAAATAAAGAACCCTTATGTAACTCACAGTTCGTGTTGTGACTTATTGATGGAAATTAATTATATCGTTTATATTATATTTAAATTTTGTACTTTGTTCCATTGTCTTTATTGTACAATTTTTTTTTTATGTAAACTTAATTTTATAAAGAGGAAAGTTTAGATATTTTAACCAACTCCAAAAAAAGAATAAGTTCTGTGTTTCACTTTGTCTTTTTTTTATGCAACTTAAAATGGCAAACAAGCTGACGGCCCACATGATGGAAAGTGGTATCCGTCGCCTATAGACATGAGCAGTACCATGGACTAACAGAGTGTATTGGGTCGACCCTTCATACGTATCCATTAATGAGAACTAAGGATTTATGCCTATGTACCCTGTAATTTAACACATAAATATTTAGACTATATTGACTTGGCGTGTGTGTGGTGTATTTAGCGTGGCAACTACTATATTTAGAATATAGTAATTGCCACGCTTGGCAGGCGGGTTGCCAACCGTAATAAGGCTTTAGAGATGTTTTAAGAGGGACGCTGCTACCCATCCCTTGGCCTCCCTTAGTCGACTCTGACGACACCCACGGGAAAGGAAGGGGTAGCCTATTCTAAACTAAGATACCTGAGGTACATACCTGCAAGGCTATATATATATATATATATATATATATATATATATATATATATATATATAAATCGTTTTTATATGTAGCTGTAAGCTTCCTTCAATACAAATAAATTAATGATCAGTTACCAATAGGTGCAGAATTTTATTTAAAAAAAAACATGCTAAATGGCTCGCTTAGTGTCAGTGTATTAAGTCATTTTCATGACTTATTCGTGACTTTTGTTTTGCATGAGTCGCTATTCAGGCATATTTATGCGTTTTTTTTTAATAATTTATACGAAATACTGGTAATTAAAAGAGTATTTTTATTTCGTCACCAGACATATCACTATATATATTTTTTTATTGGCTTAAGATAATTTCCGAGACAGAGTGACAATGTATGTGACAATCAGAGTGACAAACAGTAAAATGGAAGGGTCTGCATAAGCAATGCTGATAATTACTGTCTAATCATAATCACAGTAGGTTTTTTTTTTAAATGAGTGAAAATGGTATGGTTGGGCAATCTAACTAATCTTAATTAAACTAATCTTCATTACTAACTATCCCTTCTCCCCCCTACTATCCTATATTAGGTAGCATATTTTTTTGATGGGTGAAAATGGTATGGTAACCCCGCCTGCGCTAACGGGATACCCTGGCGGAGCACCAGTAAAGGGTGATAGATGAGAATGAAAACAGGCCAGTTAGCCCATCATGATGAATTCATCAGGAATAAACCATGATAGTTTCCAGGGGGAACTGCGAGGAGGTCGACCTGGTTGGGTATATTGCTAGCAATGGGATTCGCAGTCTCTATTACTAACAATCCCTTACCACAGTAGGTTAGTACAGTGTAGGTCGCTGACTACTAACACACCACTGGCGTATCAATATATTAAATTTTAACTTACACCTTCAAAAACACAACTATGAAAACCGCATCCAAAATAGTATAGTTTTTCGCGATGCCAAAACAAACGTACAGACAGACAAACTATAAATATAAAATATATAAAAATATTAGACTTGCCTGTGTGATTTTTTTGCCTAAGTTGAAAAAGTACCCCAGTGTATACACTACATAACGGGGCAAAAGTGTGGTCACTAGGGCTTAATTAAAACAAAAACAATAAGCATAAAACACACCACTTAAAATAAGCACAAATGAAATAAATAAATAAATTATAGTGGGTATTGATTTTATAAAAAAAAAAGGAGGGGAGAAAGGAAATAGTAATATTGAAACTCACCATTTGTGTGCAGTTCTTCCTGAACCTCTCGACACCGAACGCTCGTATCGCTCGCGAGAAGCCGAACACTTGCGAGTCGATCCACGCCGAGCGCCGGGCGATAGTCTGGCCCGGCCCCGCGGCCTTATACTCGACGCGTTCCACTACGCTCTAAAAAAAAAACAAATACAAATAAAAAAAATCTAATTAATTGAAGTGTTTTTTTTTTTAATGGATGATAATGGAATGGTAACCCCGCCCGCGCTATCGGTATACACCGGCGGGACACCAGTGAAGGATGATAGGTGAGGATGAAGCAGGTCAGTTGGCCCATCGTAACGAATTCAACAAGAATTGTTCACGATGGTTTTCAGGGGGAACCACGTGGAAGTCGACCTAATAGGGCATATTGCTAGCAATGGGGCTGTCAAAGTCCAATGCTAATAATCCCTTAATGATTTTTAGATGATTAATATAAAAAAAATCTCTGGAATCAGTCCAAAAATTTATGATTTCAGAAAAAAGAAATCAAATAGGTTTTATAAATGACGGAGTTCCGAGGTAACAAACATAGAAAAAAAGATTAGAACCGAATTGAGAACATACTCCTTTTTTGAAGTCGGTTGAAAACCAATTAACACTGTGGGTCATCGTGGAAACCTTTATTTTATTTTTTAAATTTATTTACACTTTATTGCACGATTTATAAAAATCTATACTTATAATAAATCTGTAGAGAGGTCAATTCTGTACATGAAATATATTTCCAAAATAACTATCAGGGAGTGATTAGTGATCGATACTGATGCCAAAAATGCAATCAGTAAAATTGTCTGTCTGTCTGTATGTTCGTTATAGAAACAAAAACTACTCGACGGATTTTAACGAGACTTGGTACATTTATTCTTCATACTCCTGGGCAGGTTATAGTATACTTTTCATCACGCTACGATCAATAGGAGCAGAGCAGTGAAGGAAAATGTCGGGAAAACGGGAGAAGTTACTCCATTTTTAAGCTTCCGTCGCGTGTGCAGCCTTAATGGCCACTTTTTAAAATGTAAAAATGTCCACCCGTGCGACGCCGGGACGGACCGCTAGTCTATAATATTAGTGATTACAAACCCACGGCATGTAGCTTTTAATGTATTATCCATTTTTTTTAATTAACATTGTTCTTCTTCATGCGTTCACGAGTATGACGGATAAGCCAGCACAGCGCCGCTACTAGTCTGAACATCATAGTAAGCATGACTTGTACAAGCTACTAGATAAGTTTATCACTATATTTATTATAATCTATCACTGATAACAAACTTTAGTGGTGGGGATTTATAGACATAATTCTGTTAACAACAGGCTTATCATTATAACTTATTGTTGTTACTGTATGTTTTAGTGCAATAAAGAATATATATATATATATATATATATATATATATATATATATATATATATATATATATATCTAGCGAGGGTCATACATCTTCTACAAAATTGATATATTAAATTCATATACGAGGAAGCTTGTGCTAACAGTAATGCAACATCAACACAGAATTACCGGGTAGAAGGGATTGTTAGTAATGGAGACTGAGAATCCCATTGCTAGCTATATACACAACCAGGTCGACCTCGCGGTTCCCCCTGGAAACTATCATGGTTAATTCCTGATGAATTCATCATGATGGGCTAACTGGCCTGTTTTCATTCTCATCTATCACCCTTCACTGGTGCTCCGCCAGCGTATCCCGTTAGCGCAGACGGGGTTACCATTTCATTATCACCCATTAAAAAAAAAACACAGAATTACCACGAATAAATTTTATGTTAAAATTTTGTTGGTCACTAAACAAAATTAGGCAAAAATCACTAGATGGCGCTGGAATCGAAACTTGTGGTTTTTGTTGATAATTTTGTAATTATATAAGTATTGAGTATAAAAATATAAATAAGGATATAAAAAGGAGTATAAAATAATACTTTGTCTGGAAAGTATTTTTACTTATTTCTTTTACTTACTCAGTAGATTTAATAAAATATAGAATAGAATAGAATAATAAATAAATATAAAGAATGTTGTTTATAAAGAGGTTGCTTATATAGAGCGTTCATTGTAGATATATAGATAGATAATTTATTTTCATTACTTACAGCACACAAATTACAACATATATAAAATAAAAAAAAAAAAATGATTAAAAAAAATACATAAAGCCAAGTACAACTTTCTTTTTGTGCGTGTGCCATAACAATACAAAATGGTCACAACTCAGTTTATTGCTTCGCCCTCAAAAGAGCAAAGCACTGATATTCTGTTGCGGCCAAAGGGAATAGGGCAACAATAAAACAATACTACCAGATAATCTATACAGTAAATAGACAGATATGACAGTTAATCTAGCAGACAAATGGAACATAGAGGTAACTTGACGGAATATCTAACCTTTGTCTGTCAATTAAGAATTGTTTTTAAATTAATTTTAAAACTAGACTTAGTGGCGATCAGTCTTATGGGAGGTGGTGTATTGTTCCAACATTTTGTGACTTGATATCGGAAGCTAATAGTAGTAATATGTTATTTGATTCAATCTTACCATTACTTTTGTATATCCCAGATTCCTGGTGTACGTGACGAGGATCTTCTTTTCGGGATCCACAATACTCTCCTCAATTATTTTCACTGACTGCGCGTTGAAGAACCTTTTAAAGTTTACAATATTTTAAAATTATACTTATTTGTTTACATTTTATTTCATCAATTACAAAAAAAAAGGGAAGTTACGTTTTTTTCCATGCAACTCAGAATGGCAAACAAGCTGGCGGTCCACCTGATGGAAAGTAGTAATCATCGCATATAGACAGGAGCAGTACTATGGACATAACAGAGTATACTGTTTAGCCCATGAGACCCCCATGCGTTGCCATTCCTGAAGACTCAGGTGTTATTCCTCTGTACCCTGTAAATTCACTGCCATATGCCATTCCCTTCAAACCGAAACACAGCCATGCAAACACAATTGTTTCTCGGTAGAAACATGAATAGGACAGAGGTGCCCAAGCAAACGACTTTTGTACAAAATCTCTCTCTGGTATACTCCCTATAGTGGACTGTCTTAACGCTATGTAATCGTTTCCAGACAACTTTTGGAAAGAAGACATTTAAATAAAAGACTTACTGAAATACGTAGCGTACTATAATATACATACTTACACATATATTTTTTTATGCAACTTAGAATGGCAAACAAGCTGACGGCCCATCTGATGGAAAGTGGTAACTGTCGCCTATAGACATGAGCAGTACCACATATATTGTTTATTATTATATTAGCCATGAGAGCTTCACCGACAAGAACGGAGCTCTTAAATAGGATAGATTAGCCGTTAACCGTCCACTGTTGAACACAGGCCTCCCCCATAACGTTGCTACGTTTGGCAGGCGGATTGACAACCACAATTAGGCTCTGGTGATGTTTTAAAAAGGACACTGTTGCCCATCCCTTTACCATTAGGTCCCCTTAATCACCTCTTATGACACCCATGGGAAAGTAAAGAATGGCCCATTCTATGCCGGGATAACACGGCAATAAGACTATTTATTTCAGTAAATTTTTCCTCTATTCAATAATGCATCACCTACGTATTTCTCGGTTTACCTAATTGTTGACTGGTGGTGCGAAGAGATATTGTTAGTAATGAGGATTATCCGTCCCATTGCTAACAATATACCCTAACAGATCGACCTCCCCGTGGTGCCCCCTGGAAACCATCGTGCTGAATTCCAAGTGTATTCATCACGATGGGCTAACTGACCTGCTTTCATCCTCACCTATCATCCCTCACTGGTGGCCTGCCAGTGTATACCGATAGCGCAGGCGGGATTACCATTCCATTATCATTTATTAAAAAAATGTTTGACTGGTAGAGACCATCGTCCGCCAAAATGTACATAGAATTTTACTGTTCATTGAAGTTTAAATAAATAAATAACTAGAAACTTAAAAATTGATACACATTTCGTAATACTCATCATTCTAGTCATTACCGAGTGAACGTAGTTGCTGTATCAGCAGAACGAGTTAGCAAGCAAAATCATCAATACTAAGTAGGTCTACCTATCACTAATCGCTGACAGCGCTGTTTGTTACATTAAGTGTATAATATACAAAACAAACATATTTCGCGATCAGCTATAATTAATTAAAGTTTTTTTTTTATACAACTTAGAATAACAAACAAGCTGACGGCCCACCTGATGGAAAGTGGTAACCGTTCACCTATAGACAGGAGCAGTACCATGGACATAACAGAGTATACTGTTTCTATAGTAAAGTTAAAATATTGTCTCAAAGTATTGACTTGAGTTTGCCCTATATTATTGTAATGTATTTTTTAATGGAAACTTAACACGTATAGTTTACTAACACCAATATTATATTTATTGGGAACGGGGGAGACGGTTGGAGACCATTTTATTTATTATAATAAAAAAAATACATTATTAAAAGGAGAAACAGGAGCCACCCCCATACAGCCTACAAGTAAAAGATTAAGAAAACACCACCAGTGTGTCGGCTCAAAACCTAATGACCCAGAGGTGGTAGCCTCCGGGGTTGAAGCTGGAGTAATAGGGTTCGCCCCGAGTCCCCTACCTCGCCCACCCTCACAATCCGGCGGGTACAGAAGACCTTGATGATGATGTATTTTTTATACCTATAAACCTAGTTTTGGGGGGGAAAGGGAATGTTAGTAATGGAGACTGAGATCCTATTGCTAGCAATATATCCAACCAGGTCGACCTCCTCGCGGTTCTCCCTGGAAACTATCATGGTTAATTCCTGATGAATTCATCATGATGGGCTAACTGGCCTGTTTTCATTCTCATCTATCACCCTTCACTGGTGCTCCGCCAGCGTATCTCGTTAGCGCAGGCGGGGTTACCATACCATTTTCACCCATCAAAAAAAAACCTAGTTTTTGTGTCGACGTATTTTTTGATATTGTGCATGACTGCAATTAATGTAAATACTTAATTTATTTTTTAATAATATTTACTCTTTTATATATATAATTCCAATGCATTAACCTTGTATTTTAAATAAATTTACCACAAAATGCATATACAAAAAGGCAGTGAAATTTTTACAAGATCCTCTTAATCAGTAAGTACTTAATAAAAGTTCTTAGAGTTACTTGGCCTAACATACCTGTAAATCTAAGTTTTAAAACTGAAAAAAAAAATCTCTAAAAGTCTAACGGCGGTTGCCAACCCGCCCGCCAAGCGTGGCAACTACTGGCAAAAATCCTCTTATGGGAAAGGCTTATGTTCAGCAGTGGACAGTTAAGAGCTGATATGATATAGGTATTTATCAAATATATTTAATCCGTCTAACCCTTACAAAAGCGGGGGGAAGGGATTGTTAGTAATGCAGGCTTTCAGTCTTATTGCTAGCAATATACTCTGTCGGGTCGACCTCCACGCGGTTCCCCCTGAAAACCATCGTGCTGAATTCCAGATGTATTTATCACGATGGGCTGACTGACTTGCTTTTTTCATTATTCACCTATCACCCCTCACTGGTGCCCCGCCAGCGTATACCGTTAGCGCAGGCGGGGTTACCATTACATTGTCACCCATTAAAAAAAAAAATAACCCTTACAAACGCGTGGACACATTTATCGATAATGATGATAAGAAATTATGTAAGTATAGATATATCACGTACAGTTACAGATACGTAGATATGTAGAGAATTAATGTATCTATTATGAATGTTTACAAATTACATCTTTTTATTACACCGATTGACTGGCATATAAAGTTTATGTCTTCCTCCATTCCAATTAATACGTGTATGGAAAATTTTATGGAATATTTTACTATTGATTGAGCAAAGACGCTTACCAGAGGGAGACTTTGTACAAAAGTCGTTTGCTTGGATACCTCTGTCCCATTCGTGTTTCAACCGTGAAGCAGTTGTGTTCGCATGGCTGTGTTTAAAAGGTATTATGGCAGTGAATTTACAGAGTACAGAGGAATAACACCTGAGTCCTCAGGAATGGAAACGCATGGAGGTATCATGGGCTAACCAATATACTCTGTTATGTCCATGGTACTGCTCATGTCTATAGGCGACGGTTACCACTTTCCATGAGGTGGGCCGTCAGCTTGTTTGCCATTCAAAGTTGTATAAAAAAATAAAAAAAAAGAAGCAGGTAAGTAGAAACACTTTCACATTTTAACTTACTTATATAATAAAATTGTAAGTAGACTATGTCTGTACATGAAAAATATTTAGAAAAAGGGAGATATTGTACAAAAGTCGTTTCCTTGGGCACCTCTGTCCCGTTCGTGTTTCTACCGTGAAGCAGTTGTGTTTGCATGACTGTGTTTCGGTTTGAATAATCTGCTACATTTTGCAAACAAATTAAAAACAATACACGAATTCATAATTAAAACATAAGTTTGTAAATAAGATGAAAACAAACAATGTTTACAATTTAAATTCTGAAAAATATTTGTATAGATGTCCGATACGAGTAGATTAATAAGTAGGTATTTAATATTCACTACAACGAATCTTGTTTACAATTTATATTTATCGAAATGACAAAACGATAGTCGCGTACTCCAATTGGACTGATCGTACCATTCAGCCGTAATGAATAATTTTTTTTTTACATCACAGGGGGCATACGAGCATGCGGCACACCCGATCGTAAGTGACTACCGCCGCCCATGGTCACCCACAACACCTACGGCAGGCGGGGTAACCATACCATTTTCACCCATCAAAAAAAAAAAACAAGTTCCATGAGGGGTGGGAGGAGGGCTGTCAGTAATTGCCACGCTTGGCAGGCGGATTGACAACCGCAGTTTCGCTTATGATGATGTTTCAAGAGGGACGCTGCTACCCATCCCTCGCCTTCCCTTAGTCGCCGCTTACGACACTCACTTTAGGTGGTCTATTCTATGCTAACGTAAAAACTTACATATTATACATAATACGACACAAATTAATACAAACGGACATACTCATGAATACAAATGCTTGTATTGTGCGGGGTTCGAACCCGCGACCTTTTGAAGCTAAAGCGGAGTGTCAAATCGATAGACTACAATAATTAAAATAAATTCCAGTGAAATTGCATATTTGTTTTTGTTTTGTAGTATTTATTACATTATATTGAAAAAAGCTGTGGACGTATGGTCCCGGCATAGAATAGGCCATCCCTTCCTTTCCCATGGATATCGAAAGAGGTGACTAAGTGAGGACGAGGGATAGGCAGCAGCGTCTCTCTTAAAACATCTCTAAAACCTAAAAGCGGTTGCCAATCCGCCTGCCAAGCGTGGCAACTACTGGCAAAACCCCCAAGGAAGCTTATGTTCAGCAGTGGACAGTTAAAGGCCGATATGATGACGATGATTGAAAAAAAAAAGTGAATTAGGATTTTCATCAAATACTTTAGTTGATTTTATTTTTATAATCGATTTTATGTTATTATTTATATTACATTACTGTCTGTTTACTGTGCATCGTTGATAATTTGGTTGGCGGATAACTTTCTTCTGATAAGGCAGGCAAAAGTAAGTCAATATTACGACAAGCGTATTGTCATCAAGGTCAAACTCGGGTCATCATTTTTTATCAACAATACTCGTCATCTTTGCATAAAAAATAACAACACCAATTGTATATTTTTAATATGAAACGAGATAATCGTGTAAAAACTAGAACGAAACACGAAAAATACCTAAACTAGCTACTGGAGAGAGATTGCCTTTTTTTTAATGGATGATAATGGAATGGTAACCCCGCCTGCGCTATCGGTATACACTGACAGGACACCAGTGAAAGATGATATGTGAGAATGAAAAGGCAGGTCAGTTAGCCCATCGTGATGAATACACCTGGAATACAGCACGATGGTTTCCAGGGAGGACCATGTGGAGGTAGACCTGACAAAATATACTGCTAACAACGGAATAACACAAATCGTCACTCACTGGTACCCTGACTAACCACGAGAATCACAGTATAATTTACATGTCAGATTTTTGTTACATTCAAGTTACAGTGAGTGTAAAAAGTATTCGTACACCTAGGGTTATAATAAAAAAAATACGAATTTGATAGACTTTCCTCTATTTATTTAATTTAAATCAATACTGTTAAATAGTTTAACATTCCCGCACTTTGTTTATGATAATTTTTGTTTTTTAAAAAAAAAATTATACAACATAAAAATATTTTTACGTTAACTAAGCAAATAATGACAAACAAAAAGTATTCGTACATTCATTCTTTTTTAAATGAAATTCTGTATAAATCATTTATTCAATCGAATTTTTCATATGCCTACAATGCCAAGGTCATTTTTAATACGTAGGTATAGATATTAGACGTTTTAGTTGCACTCGTGACAAGTATAGACGTATTTAGTTACAAAAATGGGTCGTAAAGCAAAAGAAACGCGTGAAGAGGAGAGAAAAATAATTATTAATTTGCATAATCAATGCAAATCATTATGTGAAATTGCAAAATTTGTCAATAGACCACGTTCAACCGTACAGACTGTAATTGATCGGTTTTCTATTACTAAAACACTAAAAAACAAACCCAGAGGTGGGGCGTCCATCAAAAATCACGCCTCGATTGGATCGGAAAATTTTAAATTGTGTAAAAAAAAATCCAAAAATTAGTGCCCCTCGAGTGTTACAAGAAATTAATAATATCAATGATTGCCATATTTCTGTCAGTACCGTTCGGAACGTATTACGTAGTAACGATTATCATGGAAGAACTGCGCGTAAAAAGTATTGGGTAAATGATATTAATAGAAAAAAAAGATTAGAATTCGCAAAAAGATATATTAATGAAAAAAATCATTTTTGGCAAACTGTTATTTACTCAGATGAATCGAAATATAATATTTTCAAATCGGATAGACATCATATGGTATGGAGAAAACCTAATATGGAATATAAGAAAGAAAATTTATGTCCAACGGTAAAACACGGTGGTGGGTCAGTATTTGTATGGGGTTGCATGAGTGCTTTTGGGGTGGGAATACTTGCATTTATTGATGGAATTAGGGATCATAAAACGTATATTAATATTTTAAAAGAGAATCTTCTCTCTAGTGCAGCTCAAATGGGTTTTAACAATAATTGGATATTTTTACAAGATAATGACCCTAAACATAAAGCATGGAATACTAAAGCATGGATCCTGTTTAACGCTCCAAAATACCTAGAGATTCCTCCTCAATCACCTGATATTAATATTATAGAGCATGTGTGGGATTATCTCGATAATAAAATTCGAAATCGACCAATTTCAAGTAAAGAAACACTAAAAATTGCGCTTCGCGAAGAATGCCGCAGAGACTCCAAGCTATCATCAATGCTAACGGTGGTCCAACAAAGTATTAATATTTTTTTAATATTCATTTACTTACAAATTTTATAAGTGTACGAATACTTTTTGTTTGTCATTATTTGCTTAGTTAACGTAAAAATATTTTTATGTTGTATAATTTTTTTTATTAAAAAACAAAAATTATCATAAACAAAGTGCGGGAATGTTAAAATATTTAATAGTATTGATTTAAATTAGATAAATAAAAGAAAGTCTATCAAATTCGTATTTTTTTTATTACAACCCTAGGTGTACGAATACTTTCTACACTCACTGTATGGTATTATTTGATGGTTAAAAGTAGCACGGATAGCCTAATCTGAATATTAAAATAGTAACCTTATTATATTTAAGTTTCTTCCAATAAAAAAAATAATATGCCATAAACTGATGCAGAGATTTTATTTTTATTATGCTCTACTCTAAAATATAAAATTTTGGCTTAAGCGAATTTAGAACTTCAACAACGATAATAAAGTCTTATATTACATAACACGTATAACACATTTTTATACCGATAAATACATAATATAGAATACACTCTTATGTAAGAATTAATCGTACACTTTCGTAAATAGTCTATTAATAGCCCTATGGCAGTGCAAAAGGCTATATAAACAATAATATTGTTGTTTAATTCATTATATTCCATTTATCACATGTATTTAATATAAATGGCAAAGAATAACAGAGGAATAACACCTGAGTCCTCGGTACTGGCAACGGGGGGGGGGGGGGGATTGTTAGCAATGGAATTTGACAGCCCCATTGCTAGCAATATGCCTTATTAGGTCGACCTCCACGTGGTTCCCTCTGGAAACCATCGTGAACAATTCTTGTTGAATTCGTCACGATGGGCTAACTGACCTACTTCATCCTCATCTATCTATCCTTCACTGGTGCCTCGCCGGTGTATACCGATGGCGCGGGTGGGGTTACCGTTCCACTAAAACACACACACACTGGTAATCCATTAAAAAAAAGTACTGGCAACGCATGGAAAGTATCATGGGCGAAACAGTATACTCTGTTATGTTCATGGTACTGCTCGTTAGTCTATAGGTGACTGTTACCACTTTCCATTAGGTGGACCGTCAGCTTGTTTGCCATTCTAAGTTGCATAAAAAAAATTAAGTAGGCCACCCTTTCCCGTGGGTGTCATAAGTTCTTTTAGTTGCCTCTAAAAGAACTTAATGGTCAAGGGATGGGCTGCAGCATTGCTCACAAAACAAACTACCTGCCAAGCGTAGAGACTGATTAGGGCAAGGTCTATGTTCAGTTGTGGACAGTAAACAGCTAATATCAATAGCTGATCTGGCAGGTATTTTATCATCTGCTGATCAGGCCACCTACTGGATACATTTTTACCTATTGGGATAAAAAGTTAAAAATCTCTCAAATAGGATCAAACAATACAGTTTTTCCAAGAGACTACAGCATGAGGTACTTCAAAAAAGGGGTAAAGAAGTTTCTTTAAGGTCGGCAACACGCGCGTAATACCCCGGGTATTGCAAACTAGTGCAACCAGCTTAGCACAAGGACTGGCTTCCCTCGAGGACACGAACCCCGTTCATAGGCTATAATAATCATTTATCATCAGGTGTGCCATACGTTTGTTTACCACCTCAGTGGTATAAAAAAAATTTTTTTACCTCTCACCCCACTTGGGTACTCTGTTGGTTTTGGTAAGCAGTCTCTTTGTGTGGAGGCACCCATCCTTAACCTGCCGGCTCCATGTATCTTCAGATAGCACATGTGTACTGAAACATTATTATTTTATTACTTAGTGTTACAAACCATTACAACCTATAGAGTGCAGGAGGGAAAGGTTTGTTAGTAATGGGGAGGTTAGTCCCCATTGCTATCAATATACCTTATCAGGTCGACCTCCACGCGGTTCCCCCTGGAAACTGTTGTGACTAATATAAAGTTGAATTGACCTGCCTTTTCATCCTCACCTGTCACCTCTCACTGGTACCCTGTCAGTGTAAACGGATAGCACAGGTTATGCCATTTCCATCCATTAAAAAAAAAACCTATAGAGTGCCTAATATTTATATTAATGCATGCAGTGCAGTAAAATTGAGAACAATTTTATTTATTAATTGTTTATTTAGCACTGCACATACTAGGTTAATATGTCACCCAATAAGTTTGTAATATTTTTCTTTGTTTGTTATTTAGTAACAATAACTAATAATATCAATATCCACACATACCAACAATAATTACTAATACTAAAACTATGAAAATGAGTTTGTTACCCTTGGCACCTTAATGATCAACCATTTACTATGAAATTTGATATATAAATACTATATGTGATAGAGATAGAGAGATAGATTAAATCACAGATAAAAGCCAGTAAAATTATAGAATAGAATAGAATAGAATAGAAATCATTTATTCAAATAAACTTACATTGAAGCACTTTTGAAAAGTCATTACATTTTTTTTAATCTACCGCTCGTTCGGAAAGCTGTCTCATCACAAGAAGAACGAGCAAGAAACTTGCGTGTTGCTCTTTTAAATAATTTTATTATTACTTTACATTTTTAAGTTTAATTGTGAATATAAATATTAAGAACTAGGGGTGGCCAATATATTGCAATATCTATATATTGAAATTACAATATCAATATATCACCATGAAACATATATTAAATATGGATCATAAAGAACTGGATCAAAATTAATATAAATATTCAAATGGTATGGGGCCATATCAAAATGGATAATCACCTTTGTTTAAACCATCAATGTCCAGAGTGTATATAGAATATATAGAGAGAATATATAGATATTGGAACAGTATCTATATAACCCATCCTTATTAAGAACATAACATTCTAGGAAGTATATATAACCATTGGTAGCTATATTTAAAATTATCTTTACATTTTCTGTGTCATAACACTAATAATAGGACACAAAAAAGTATGTAAACATGACTTCAGTAAAAAAAACTTTGTTTACTTCTAGTTATAAATGGATGCATCAATCAATCAATGGTCTGTTAAAAAACACATTGCATTCTTAATAACCTATTATTAAATATTATTATTAATACCAATTAATGTTAGGTTATCACCTACCATCTATGTACATACTACTTATACAAGTAAATAAACAACACTGATTGATTGGAAGGTCACATTTTTTCCAGTTAACTTCTCAAGGAGAGCTAGTATTTAGCATTATGAACAATGAATACTTAATTATACACATCATATTAACAAACATTTATCTAGATGTATATTACACTAGTTTTTAACCACAGCTTCTTTCATGTAGCCATAATATAACTGGAATGTCTGTCTTTCTCCATCTCAAATAGTATTCATGCCAAATTTAACAATGATATGATAAAGCCATTAAAACACCAAAAAACAACAAACAAGCATACAAACTTAGTTTTATAATTATACAAGTTGTAACCTGTGGTTTTGTTCACATGAATTACTTAGGTGCATAGTTTTTTTTTTTTTTTTTATGTATATATTATAAGTTTTTGCCCCATTTCAGAATCAAGTTTGATAATTCTTTTGTTTTATTAAGCAACCATTTTTTTTTATTAATGGCTGGTAATTATGGTATTATATAGTTAAAGTGAATTAAACATTGTGTTAAAATATACACTGATGAATGACTAATGAATGTTAGTGTCATAAACAATGACTTTTTTCTTTTACCACTTGCGCTAAATGAGCACTAATATTTATTTTTGTCATTTAATTATTACTATTTAATTCAGAGATACATAAATACAGACAAAGGCTTATCAAGCCTATCTAAACCACAAATAAATATTAATTATTTAAAGAATAAATCTTACCTTTGAGGATTAGGATATCTTTTCCAATAACCACACGCAACTTGATCCCAACTAAAATTGAAGGTTGAGGTATTCTCGTAGTATCTTGCCATTTTTTTAGTGTTTTTCAATTTTTTATGGAATGATTGTGAATAAAAATTCGATGCTCAATATAAAACCATACTCGTATCGGCAAATATCCCTGATAACACAAGGATATTATATATCGTTAGTTTTGTAAACAACGTGTCCACAGATTATATGAAAAATATCAGATTACATAAAAATCTAACTGGGTCAATTTATGAATTTATAGAAGGCCAACCGATACCGACGACGGACAACGTGTTTGTGATTGTAGTCACGTACAAAGGTGTACAATAACTATAGCGAAGTAAGCCATGGGTTGACCGTATTCATTCAATACCTACGTACTAGAGAGTTAAGAATTGATCACACAAATTTGCATTTTTTAAACACAATATCCATTAATTTTATATTAATAACACAAGACGGTTCAAATTATAAGTAACAAATATAAAAATTACTTTAATATTACGACCCACAAGTAACAAGACGGAACTATTATTTTAACATACCAGTTCGCCGGAGACACTTGGATTGTTTTTATTCTAATAAAACGCCGTTGAGACCCAGTTGCGATCACATACAAGGTCTTAGCGACCTATTTTAAATTGCAGATGATCAACTGAACCACGAAAATCTTGTTAACATTCATACTGCAGGTGTTTTTAATAAAAAAATTATAATCACTTGACACTTTGACAGATAATTCCAGACTAAAGTCCATAAAGTAGAATAGAAGAAGCATGCATATGGTGAGAATAGACTACGCTTATCTATGGTTAGAGTTTAAAATGGCGCAACATTGTATAAATATTATCTGTGGGAATAATATTTAGGTTCGGTTTTCGGCATAAAAACGTCTTAATAGTAACTAATTTAATATATTTTTAAATTTTAAGTTTCATATTTTTTAAAACTTTTATTAAATTTATTTAACTTTTGTACTAATATATTTAATAATTTAAAATACTACCATTCTTCATTATTTAAACAACAAAAAAGTAAAAGTTATGATCTTACCGGAAACCAGTATATTGTAACTACACATATTAAAGACCTTTTACATTTGGCGTCAATTTTAAATTATATTAGCAAATTTGAATCGAATACATTTTATCAATAAAAAATTAACACAAAATGAATTATAAAGAATATATCCAAAACTTGCGTAAATTGACTATGAGCGACGCGTGTCTTCTATTGAATGGTGATATAATACCAAATCTAAAGCAGTATGTAAGTTTACTTGACAATATAAAATTTGAAGACGGATCATATCATGCTTTTTATGGAGAAGTAAAGAAAATCATCACTAGCTTCCTGTATTATTATACAGTGACAATGGACGATATGATTATAAAGGCTGACAAATATTCGCACGATACAAATAAAAATGATCTCCTGAGTTTGGCAAAGCAGACTATAAATATACACGAATGTGATCAAATATCATTCGGTAAAGACTTTTTGCCGGTTCAATCGCCAATCGAAAAACAAACTTATGATGAAATACAAGAAAAATATAATGTATTCATGAATGATATTTTCTTACTGAGAGATGTAATAGAAAAACTTGATAAAAAAGAGAAAGTCGATAATTTCGCCTTGGAACATTTTAAAATTTCTGTAGTAATGACTAGTAATGTTTTCAAATATACTCATGATTATATTTTAATGATGTTAGGAAACCGAGTAAGTAGATAAATACCATAGACTTAGTATAACGTACTACAATTGAATAATATTATAATTATAGTATAATACAATGACAAGTTATCATTTTAAACTCGTAACGGCTGAGATGATGATAATGATAACGAATATTAACCTCCGGATGTTTTAAACTAAGTATGTCTTTGTTTTTAAAATAGTGAAATAAAGCTCCAGTTTTAATCATACACATACTTACGTACTGAGAATTAAAACTTTGCTAGCAACATACTTTGCCAAGTCAGGCTATACATGCTCCCCTCAAGAAGCCATCACATATACTTCACCGCAGTGGATTGACTGATCTGATTTTGTCCTCATGACTTCATAGTTCAATAAATATAATTTAAAAAAAAATTGATGTGCTACCATTATATAATGATAGGCAAATGCATAATTCCATATTTAATCAAAAAGTAAGGGGGGAAAATTGTTGTTGATAATGGTCTCTAACAGCTTCATTATTAGCGATATAGGATATATTGCTAATAATGGCAAATAAAAAATAATTAGGTCGACCTCCACGCGATTCCCTACTGGAAACAATCGTGATTGGTTGTTGTTGAATTCGATGGAGTAACTGATCTGGGGGTCTACCATGAAATCCAATTCCGAATTTTCGGACTCAATTTCGTGTTTATGTTCATACTGAAGTCGGCCCAGTAAATGGTGCTTTACATTTCGTTCGTCATAAATCTTTCCTTAATAGTCCAAAGAAACAATGTTTTAACATTTTTAATATTTTTAAACTTTTGACATCAAAATTGGGTTACGTTCGGCTTCGAAATTTCGGAAAATATATCATGGTAGGCCCTCTGCTTTCATCCTTACCTGTCATCGCTGTATACCAATAGCGCAGGCGGTGTTAATATTCCATTTTCACTAATTAAAAAAAAGACCGTCAAATAAAACTAACTACAATAAAGAATACATATTACTTACCCTACTTTCCACTAATATTATAAATGCAAAAGTTTGTTATTATATTTGGATATTTCTCAATCACGCTTAAACGACTGTACGAATTATAGGTATACGAACATATATATAATACTTTATATACTAAAGCACGCGAGCAAAGCCGCGGGAAACGGCTAGTAGTTTCATATGTTTATGAGTAAATTAATTAATTCTAATTGTTTTTATACCTACAAATCTATCTATATATATATCACAGCTTAGAACCAGAAAGGTCTCGTACAGTGTGGTCAGTACAGTTTCAAAGGAGCTTCCTCCCGCGAACACTTAGGTAGTGGAAAGATCTTCCTGTCGAGGCTTCCCTAGAGCCTAAATGCACCATGGGATTCAAAAAGGGCGTATTAAGGTTTTATGAGAGTCGGCAACGCGCGCGTGATATCCTTGATGTTACAGGCGTCCATAGACTACAGGAACCCCGTTTATCATCAGACGGGTCCTATGCTTGTTTGCCTCTATAGTAGTATAAAAAAGCCCAGGACCGTTTCTTATGGCAATTTATGGGGGAGGCCTATGTTCAGCAGTGGACTGATAATGGCCAAAACGATGATGAGATGGTCATAACAATTTTGACTTCAATCCAGCTTCCGGAAATTCAAGTGAGCCTGGAGGAGATATTGCTACGGATGCGGAACAACCAGCGCAGCATAGAGAGTGCAAGCAGCGACAACGTGAACAAATTGCTGAACCAGCTGTACGACAGGAATAAGGAACATCTGATGCTGAGTCGACAGTTCAAGATGTGCTCGGTGGAGTACGCTGAAGTAAGAAGCTTTTTTTAATGGATAATAATGGAATGGTAACCCCGCCTGCGTTAATGGCATAGTCTATCGTGATAAATACACCTTTTTTTTTAACTTCTGGAAAATGCTTTATGCAGACCCATACACCTTGTGGGAGGTGAATGGGTACTGTGGGAAACCCCCCGTAAGGTGGGAGTGTACCCACTAAAAACCAGACCATATACCCTCGAGGTGCCATATGTCGGAGACATGGGTTAGCTTTCGCACTCACCACATCTCAGACGGCAGCGACCCGCCCCCAGATGATAAGAACAGGTCTCTCTCAGTGATAAATACACCTGGAATTCAGCATGATAGTTTCGCAACATGTGCGTGGACTAAATAACGCTCGATGATAGGTGACTAATATGGAAGGTCGTACAATATCTACCAATAATAGTAGTAAATCCACAAATGTTGGCACAAGGGCACATACTAATGGTAGCGGAATTAAACAAATACATTCCAATCTACTTACCAGCCATTTTTTGACGAGAATACGTATTTTTTTATAATAAAAACGTAAAATCGCAAACTAGTTAACGGCCCACCTGATGAAAAATGGTAATTATCGTCAGATATCAACAGTACCATGGATTACACAGAATGCATTATGATAACTTCATGCGTTGCCATTCCTAAGGACAATGGTCTTATTCCTCTAATAAAGTATAGACCAGTTTCCTTCTCTTAAATGTTTTTTTATCTCAACCCTACCCCATCCACAAAACCGAAATACAACCATGCAAGTACAGCTGTTTTAAGGGAAAAAAAAATGCAAGTGAGACAGAGATATCGAAGCAGTTGACTTTTGTACAAAATCTCCCTCTGATATGTCTCTCCCTATGGGTGTATTGTAAAAGTAGTTAATATATAGTAATATCTATATATTGTAGGCACAATATTTATACATATATTGGCCTAATAACAGATATATTAATTGTCGATTATCCAATATATAATATCGAAAAAGAACCCGTTCGTAATAAATATAGATATCCGGCTAGTATGGGCGATATCGCGATTAATGGTCGTCATATCTAGAAAAACTCAATATATAGGTATCGGATATTACACATTTCTAGTGAGTTAATTATTTACAACGATAATAAACGTCTCTAACTACCTCATTAACAAAAGAATATATTTGTGAACATATTTCTTTCTCTTCTCTTCTTATCCGCCTGTTTCATTTTTTCTGTGGTAAAATCTTAAGGTTAGTCGAGCTATTGAAGTGATACGTGAAAAGATTGAAAACTCTAAATATGATATACCACTGTCAAGATTGAGTGAAGAGGTAGCCTACTGGGAGGAGAGATTGAGAGAGTTCCATCAAATTGTAGATGGATTAAGGAAGCTGAAGACTGAGCAGACAGTACTAACGAAGCAGGAGCAAATTTATCAATCTATGCAGTAAGCCGATATATGTAGTATCGTCATTATCATTTCAGCCATTATCTGTCCACTGCATAGACATCCCCCATAGACAAGGAACAGTCCTGCGCCACCTGCATCCACTGACTCCCTGCAATGCATGCCTGTCGTCACTCCCTCTAGTTAGAGCTCGTCCTACACTCGTACGGGATCAACTCAAGAACCTTTCTTCCGGAAGTTTATACAATATACTAAGCAGTAAGTTTTACTGACAAATCTATTTCTTTTTCCTACCTCTACTCTCCATACTTCCTCCAAAAGGTAGATATATTTTCTAAATTTTCCAGAACTACAGAATTGCCTGGTTCAAAATATCAATGTTGGATAAACATGAGCGAAAATTTGAAGCAAAGAAAAGAAGAAGTGAATCGAGCAATAAATGAAGCAGCCAAGGCACTAATAACTTTCTTTTGTGTTAGAGGTTTGATATTTTTTGTATATAAAGTAGAGAAGTAATGGAAATAAGTGTATTATTTACGAGGTTGATCCCACCCCTAGCGACTGCGTTCCTATTCCTAACGACAAAATCGAATGCCGCTCGCTTCAGGAGAAAACAAACGTTCGTACAATAGCTCGCCATGCGTATGCGCTTGTTCGTACTCGGCGTCGAGTTAGGACTCCGCTGAGGTATCGCCGTTAGCCGCGATCGTGCACATCGAGAAAATATATCGTGTATCCAGTGTATATAGTGTAAATAACTAACTTTAACTCGCCCTAACACGTACCGACCCACACCCGGCTTGACTCTAGGACCTGTGAAGACTGGTGAGTTTCCCGTCCAGGGGTTTTTCCTACAGTATTAAATTCTGATGAACATTAGTTTACAGAACAACTCTTTTATGTTACTCGATATGTGCCATTTCTGAGCAGATGTTCTCCCGCGTTGATTCCATATTTAATTTTTAATGAATATTCATGGAATGGTAGCCTAAGTTATCGGTAAACGCTGGAAAGGCACCAGTAAGGGATGATTGGTGAAGATAAAAGCAAGTCAGTTGGCCCGTCGTAACGAGTTCATTAAAAATAAACCACAGTGGCTCCCAAAGGGAAACCTCGTGGCAGTCGACCTGAATATACAGATAACAATCGGTCCGCTAGTCCCCATTTCTAACAATCCTTTCTCCATTAATCCTTACTCTATTATTCATCATATCAGCCTTTAACCAACCATTGCTGAACATAAGCCTCCCCTTTGGGAGATTTTGCCAGTAGTGCCACGCTTGGCAGGCGAGTTGGCAACTGTAGTTGGGCCATGAAGATGTTTTAAGAGGGATGCTGCTGCCCATCTCGTCGTCCTTTAGTCGCCTCTTACGACACCCACGGGAAAGGAAGGGGTGGCCTATTCTTAGCCGGGACCACACGGCCATTTGTTATTTTATAATAAATTGAAGCAGTCTTTTTTATTTGTGAAGTAAAACTGAAGTAACTGTTTATTTTACGGAGTGAAATTAGCTTGTTTCAAATCGTCTAATAGTAGACTTCTTTCTTACCTGCTGTATCATAATTTCAGGCAGCGACCGCATTTTCTACACCGACGACGTGGGGCCTTATTATTTGGACGAATACAACCATCAAGTTTACTTCTTCGACTCCGGCATGGGCGTCTATCATTTTAATTGCTATGGCGAATTTAAAGAAGTAAATTAACTCTTGCATTTTAGCCCAGTTATCGTATCTGCCCTTAACTCTCCACTGCTGAATGTAAGCCTCCACCTTGGGTTTTTTTTATGGATGATAATGGAATGGTAACCCCGCCCGCGCTTTCGATATACACTGACGGAGCACCAGTGAAGGATGATTGGTGAGGATGTAAAGACTGGTCAGTTAGCCCATCGTGACGAATTCAACGATAAATTAATCATGTTGGTTTCCAGGAGGAACCGCGTGGAGGTCGACTTGATAAGGTATATTGATATCGATAGGGACTAACTTCCTTATTACTAACAATTCCTTCCCCCCACCTTTGGGGGCTTTGCCAGTAGTTGTCATGCTTGCCATAATTTTCCACTTTTTTTAATTCCATATTTTTCTGATAATACAAATGTATTTAGCTTAAGAAATTACCCGTAACTGGATTTGGTTCCATATGGTCCCGACGTGGAATAGGCTAGCCTTTCTTATCCTGTGGGTGTCGTAACAAGCGACTAAGGGAGGGCGAAGGATGCGCAGTAGCATCCCTATTAAAACATCTCCAAAGCCTAATTGCGGTTACCAACTTGCCTGTCAGGCGTGACAATTTTAGTAAAACCGCCCTTATAGGGAAGGCTTATGTTCAGCATTGGACAGTTTGAGATGATGATGATGAATAAACATATCATCATTTACAAAATATTTATAAAAAAAAACCTAAAATAAACTTTTCCAAGACATACGACAAAGAGAAGTACTACTTCGACGAAAACGGTCGTTACGTGAAAAATGAGAACGAAGAGAAGGTGTACCGTTGTGCTCCTTGTACCAGTAGCTACAACCTGGCCAAAGATGGACTACTGATTAAAGTTACCAAAGACTGTGGCCATTCTGAAGCAATCAACAGGAAGTGCAAGCTGACGATAAAAAATCCTACTGATATTGAAATATTGCCAACGTCTGATGAAATGGATATTAAAGGTAAAAAAATTACAATATTTTTTAGTACAAGCCTTTACTAATATTATAAATGTAAAAGTTTTTTAATCTTGGCGCCATAACCAATCCATCGTTTGGTAGACATCAAGATTACACGTAGTAGAGTTTGGGATGCGGAAAAGCGGTCCAAAGTCGCGGGTTAAAATTAACTGTTCATGATAAAAAAAATAACAATAATAGCCAAATACTAATTAAATAAACTTTATTTTCCTTAAACAAAGTTAGCCAATGGTACAATATAACTATGACCCCATACTAGGCAAAGCCTATCTCGTAGAAGTCAAAACTACAAATTTTACAATTATGGTGCGGCGAACAGGGTTATATTAATTATGTAGATACTCATTTATTTAAGCGTTGCAGTAAGTATATGAGTGGAATTCAGGACTGTTCCTTGAGTTAATAAAAACTGTCTCTACATATGTTCAGCAGTGAATATTGGTATACGCTCGCTTGCACTACTTTTTTTTTAATAGGTGAAGATAAAATGATAACCCCGCCTGTTATTGGTATACTCTGGCGGGGCACCAGTGAGGGATGATAGATGAGGATGAAAAGGCAAGTCAGTTGATGGGTAAAAATGGTATGGTAACCCCGCCTGCGCTAACGGTATACGCTTGCGGAGCACCAGTGAAGGGTGATAGATGAGAATGAAAACAGGCCAGTTAGCCCATCATGATGAATTCATCAGGAATTAACCATGATAGTTTCCAGGGGGAACCGCGAGGAGGTCGACCTGGTTGGGTATATTGCTAGCAATGGATTCTCAGTCTCCATTACTAACAATCCCTTCTCCCCCTAGGCAAGTGAGTTAGCCCACCGTGATAAATATACCGAAAATTCAGCAAGATGGTTTCCAAGAGGGACTATTGATATATGCTGGGATATCAGTCATCTGAAGGATGATAGGTGAAAATGAACTCAGACGGTTGTGTCTGGGTTTTTTTTTTAATTTCCTAGACCAACTCCATCGTAAGAAATTCACTAAGAATGAATCACTATGGTTTCCAGAGTGGACTGCTCAGTGAAAGGCATAGGGGGGAACAAAAGTAAAGGTTAAAGGTATGGGCAGACATGTCTAAGAGTACATTTGTGACTTTTTTAATGATCCTCCCCTCCTCCCTCCTGGAAAGTAAATTTAAATATGCCAATGCTACTCACAACAGAATTATTCTGTGGTGGACTGTGTAAAGGGGTCTACCTGACATTGAATATTGTTATTAATGGGGTACTAGTTCCCATTGTTAACAATACCCTACCACACAGGGTTTTACAGTAATAAATCATGTGCTTTGAAAATACCATAGGAAAATTGGACCCGGAAACGGTGAAATACCTGTGGGACAGTTTCGGCCACTTGCTCCCCGATGCATTGCACGATGTCGGCCGTGACCACATCAAGAATCCCATACAGCACCTCGCTCACAAGCTGCTCTTTCACAAGTATTCGAATTCTTTATAATACTGGAACTCCATTATACGTTACATTTATTTTAATGGATAAAATTAGAATTATGCTATGCTAGTTAGGCATGGGTAATATGAATAGCCGTGTAGGTCCAGGCGTAGAATCGTGGTCTATTCTTCCTATCCTTCCTTTCCTCTGGGTGTCGTAAGAGGCAACTAAGGGAGTTTATAGTGAAAGGATGGGTCCCTCTTAAAACATCACCAAAAGCCATACTGCGGTTTCCCTCCCGCTTGCCAAGCGTGACAACTACTGGCAAAACCCTCCTTACGGGGGAGACTATGTTCAGCAGTGGACAGTGAGCGACTGATACAACAATATAGATACCGATCCGATATCTATATTCTGGTTTCGATATCGCCTATATCGCTCAGATATCTATTTTTGATCATGTTAAAAGTCCGTTATCCAATATCATTGTTAGGATAACAGACTTATCGGACCAGTAAATAGATATTGTAACTAAAATATATGAATATTGCAATATATTACCTATTCCAGTTTTACCAGAGGGAGACTTTGTACAAAAGTCGATTGCTTGAGTACCTCTGTCCCATTCGTGTTTCAACCGTGAAGCAGTTGTGTTTGCATGGCTGTGTTTCGGATTGAAGGGTGGGATATGGCGTGAATTTACTGGGCACAGAGGAATTACACCTGAGTCCTCAGGAATGGCAACGCATAGGGGGTATCATGGGCGAAACAGTATACTCTGTTATGTCCATGGTACTGCTCATGTCTATAGGCGACGGTTACCACTTTCTATCAGGTGGACCGTCAGCTTGTTTGCCATTCTTTGTTGTATAAAAAAAAACTTCTAATGCTAATGGTACACGCTGGCGGAACACAAGCGCGGGTCCACCGCTGTTGGCACGTTTGGTGTGCCCACAGCCCTAAGAGCCTTGTGATTTTCCGGAGGGAAAAGGATTGTTATTAATGGAGATTAGCAGCCTTACTAGTAATATATCCTATCAGGTCGACCTCCTCTCGGTTCCCCCTGGTAAACATCGTGATTGATTCATTAGTGAATTTGTCACGATGGGCTAACTGACCTGCTTTATCTTCACCTATCATCCCTCACTGATGCTCCGCCAGTGTACACCGATAGCGCAAGTGGGGTTATCATTCCATTATCATCCATAAAAAAATAGACTTGTGACGCCTTGCTTTTTGTGTGGTATGGCAGGCCAGGGATACTGGTAAAACCGCCACTGAACCCGTCGAAGTATAGTAGATAGATAGATAGACAATTTATTTACATTACTTACAGCACACAAATTACAAAAAAAAAACATACACGTAATACACAGCAAAAGACACAAGAATAAAAATAAAAAAAGCACAAATTAAAAAAAAATACAAAAACAAAATACATAATCTAACAATCTCCTTTGTTAACATTCCTTCATGCGTGTGCCATAGTAACACAAAATGGTCACAGCTCAGTTTATTGCTTTGCCCTTAAAAGAGCAAAACACTGATATTCTGCTGTGGCCAAGAGTCAGTCGCGAAACTTTTCATTAAAAATTTACAATATAAAAATATATATATATATATATATAAATAAACTGCATTGTATGTGTCCATTATATTTGCTAACAACTAACAATTAGTACAGTACTAACAATTAGTATCTAAAAAATTTTATAGACATAGTGTGTGCGTGTAATATATATATACATATATATATATATATATATATATATATATATATATATATATATATATATATATATATATATATATATATGAATAAGGATAATATTTATATTATTATACGTATTACATCTCCCTTATATCTAGAACTTTGGATGGAAGAGATCGCTCTTAGCGATAAGGTCGCCCATTGTTTTCTCATCGTGATTATTTCTTGTAATTATTTATATTTATAATAAGTTTACTATTGTAATCTTTTGGAGGAAACAATACAGAGTATCTATCTATCTATCCCAATTTATTGTAGCACTTTTAGACAGAACTAGAACTCTTTTTATATTAAGTCGATTGATTTTTATTAATTTATATATTAGATACAACCAAACACATAACGAACTACGCGAGAAAAAGAAGGAAGCCGAGTTGTACCGCACAAACATTTACCAAGAACGGAAAGATGTTAGTCTCGTTTTATGTACAGCTTTATTTTCTCGATTCTCTTATTTTATGCATTCTTTTCACTACTACATACATCTATTTATTTTTTCAAAATTTGGTTTCTAAATATTCTACTGTTAAATTGGTTTCAAAGAGTCTATGTAAAAATGGGAAAGTGCACGCTACGCTGGTTCTCGCATATGGAATGTCAGATGATAGATTGACAATGTACAAAATAAGTACTCTTGGAAAACACATTGGTCTATTCTTATAGAATCGTCACTAAGGGCCAGTTGACCTTCTATCCTCACCTATCATCCCTCACTGGTGCCCCACCAGCGTATAACGATAACGCAGGCGGGTTTACCATTCCATTAACTCTTTATTATAAAAAGATAGAGTATGTTTTATTTTGACTCCTCCAAGCCTGCGGAACCGGCGTGCTTGCATGAGACGTATATGAAAGCGCACGAAGCAGTGAGGCAGATGTATAGAACAATTTAACAATCAATTTTCTCTGCCTACTCCATAATGTATGTAGCGAAAAAATAAAAAAAAGTTAAAGGTTTCGTAAGCATTCATTATATTTTAATGTAATAACTATCTATTTAACTTACATGTAATTATATCGAGAAAGCTCGACTAGTCAGGCTCGCGCTTTCATCACAGCCGTTCATGATTAAGGGTATCGAATTGATCCGGAAACTAGTTGAATTTTCTCGCTTTAATTACATGTAAGTTAAACCGATAGTTATTACATTAAAATAGAAAAAAGTATCCATATGTACAATGTACGAGTAAATAAATCCATCTCCAGAAAGCGGTAATAGCTAGCAAGTCTTGGAAGGCGAAACAGGTGAAGCGACGCAAGCCGGAGGAATCTGATGATGCTCTGAATCGGTCCATCTTCGAGGCTCAGGTGGCTGCTCAGGACTTTGTCAATAACCTCAATTATTTCAACGACTAAAAAAGTACAGTTACAGCCCAAAATATTGATGAAGGAAGACGGGAATTGTCATTTCTACTCTAATACCTACAGTTTAAAATTGTTAATATTTCTTTTAGTTCTCTCTTGTATCTGGTATTATTTTAAATTTAGAACTTGTAATTTTTTAAAGTTATGAATTATCTCATACATATATGTATACGGATCATGTTTTAGTACTTTGTCTCTTTGTCTTTGCCAGCAGGCTACAATGCCAAAAAAAAAATCTGCTAAATTTGCCAAACTTACATGATGTATTAAAAGTATTAAATTTGACAGAGTAGAACATCCTTAGAACTACACGAGTAAAACACCTATATTACTTTGTATAATGCTTTGTAAGTGTTAAATATTTGTCATACAAAATATACATACTTGATTCAGCCACTTGACAGTCTACGAGGTCCATTACAAAAAAAAAAATGAAGGGCATAAACAAAAATAAAATAACCATTGGTAAGGTACAGGTATTTATTGTTCATTAAGCGTCTACTAGATAATAACGAGACACACTTCGTAAGACAACGCCGATTGACAGCTAAATAATAATAATTAAAAAAAAAACAACCTACTTATCGCCAAGGATGGACAAAATTCCAATTCAAAACCCAATGCCGGTAATATTTGGTTCAATTCCAACACAACTATCTAAATTACAAATAAACCTATATTATAGCACTATTATATATATTGTAGAATTCTTGTAGGAGAGTACATATTATATTAAAAATATTAATAAATATTCATACAATGGTATATGCACGACAATGGGTTGAAAAGGGAAGAGAGATTTGGAAATATTCTGTTACAGGTACATATCTCCTCTTTATGTTAGTTTACCAAGAGGCTTATAAACGGACATTGCAATGAACACGAAATTGATCGCTAAAAAATTGACATGCAATATATTTGTCTCGAAATTTTTGTTCAGAGAATAAGTGGAATAGACAAACCTTTTTCTATTAGCTACTCTTTCCAAATAAGGTATCATAAGCGAGACAGTAGATGGTCATACAAGTTTAAAACAATGTCGTATTCATAGCCCAATCTCCTGATTATAAGCTTCTTGTTCATATAGTATACATATTGTTAATATTTACTGCACAGTCACCGAAACCTTTATATACTTAAAACCGTGTAATTTAAATACAGTAATATGACATTTAAACTTTACAGTAATAAAACCGAGATAGGACTGACAAAAACTATTATCTCGATTTTTCTTATACACATCCTAAATAGTACCTCCATAATAATATCCACGAGTCACATGGAATCTATAACGTGACTTCCATGTGAATTTCAATGTGTAAAAAAGTCTAAATTATTAATAAATGACATGAGAATCCCTTTTTACAAACTCAACTATTACAACCGATGTCTGAATCACAAGATAACGTATTAAAAAAATAACATGTGTTGCAATCGGTAAAAAAGAAATATTTTTAAACACAATGGTGTTGTAGGGTGTTAAGATTGCATTTTACCAAAATATTATGATGAAGGCGCATCCTGTAAGACGTTTGTTATCTACCAAATTTGAAAAAAAAATTAAACAATTTTTCTGATGTAGTCTAAAGTGTTATTCACGGTAATAGGTAAAGAAATATAAATTTTTTTATTCAAAAATATTTAATTTACTTAGATTATTATTTTGTTATTCCATCAAGTCATTAGTACGACTAAACTGGCCAGAAAGGAATTATAATAAAAAACAAAACTGTTCCAATTTTAATTTTGTTTTTCATTAGCAACATTTGCCTCATCGATAGATGAAAATATTGCTAGTCTTACAGTAAATTGCCTTCGAATTCCAAACCATAGCATATTATTTGACAACAACATGTACGTAGACACTTTAATATGGGATTATCAGTGTTTTATAAGGTTATATTAGTATATTTATATATATTTTAAACGATAAATCTACTATATGTATATAAAGGTAAACAGTACATACTCATTAGAAGCATAAAAGTGAATAAATGCTATTATTACGTGTTTGCGAACATATATTGATACAAATAAGGAGTATATTACACTGTCCAATATGTAGGGCTATATATAAATTTCAGGACTATAAATATACGGCCCTACATTAGTAGCAAAGGATATTATTTATAGTATTCATAGATATGATACTGTCTCCATGAACAAGAACGAGGCTGCAATGTTCAGAGTTTTTTTTTCCTCATGCGTAGACTAAAGAAAATCTTTGATTACTGTCTAAGACATCTGGATAAAAACCGAGTTACCTCAATAAATTAATTCTAAGCGGTACAACTTTTTAATTTCAGATAAATCAATGTCTCTACATTTATTCACAATGGCTTCATAAATAGAGCGATGTATATTCCGAGTGTAAACCTCTAAGGTTTTGCAATGTATTTGAGCAAACTCGAGCACCCGTGCGTGGCACATGAGCATGTACTGGTACCTTTAATAAAGGTGTTAGCATAGTTACAGACTATAGTTACAAAACCATTGCTCTGAATCCCTTTTGCACCCACTGATTCGCTCCATTAGAGGTCAGGATTTTTATGTACTCACTTCCCCATATATCAACGGGGTTTTGGGGTTATTACAGTATCACATTTGTAGGATCGTAAAACATTAGAAGGAATATTTTGAATATATGATACTCCTTTTAATATATAATAAGATATATGATTGTATATGTATGACACTGTAATAACCCCATATGAGGCTATATGCATCTATGTATACATTATTTTTCAAAGTTACACTAACATGAATTCAAACAGGTACAAAAGTATTTCCCATCATTTATTCTCTTTTAATTATCTCTCTTTTTAGAAGAGAAATAAATAAAACGTTTATGTATAATCATTTTTGGTATTTATTTCGAATAGGAATTTGTGGTCTTGCAACATGGGCACTTTAAGTTATATAGAATCAAAAAAAAAAAATAGAAAATTTGTTAAGATTTAAAAGAAACGTGGAGAATTAAAATTAAACTACACAAGGACGTTAGCCAGGTATAGATATAGTTATATACTTTTAAAATCATTTATACAATAATTATCATCACGTGTTTTCGCTCAAACACATATGTTTTGCATTAATAAAGATTTTTTTCAGACTAAACTAGCACATTATCAATTTCCATTGCCTAACCTCTTCCCCCGCCTTGAAAAAGTTCTGGCCACGCCCTTGAAAGTACTAAATTCCATATTATTGCAGTTTCATCCTAATGTTTTAATATCAAATAGTTTATTTCCAACTGTTAATGTCTATAGTTAAAACGAGTACCGAAGTGACATACATAGATTAATATTTCTAATATGAAAAAAAAAATTAAGTTTTAAAAATAAATTGCAATAATCGATTTCTCCAGCGCATTATTCAATTTTGAAAAAAAAAAGCTTATCTATATAGAACACAAAAATAGAAGAAATAAATGTTAATTCCACTAAATAGCCAATTTCCCAATTAAGACGAATGTTTAAACTAAAATATGAATAAAAAAAATGTGTTAACATATATGACTGTCAATTTTCATAGTCACTATTGCTTGATAGCATAAAAATATTGTATGTACAAAAAAATACTAGTAATATTCATAGAGGACTCTGTAATGTACTATATTCAGCGATAATATTCAATATCCGAGACTTAGAAATAAAATATTAAAACAGAATTTACTTGTGTGAAATTTCAATTAGACAATTAATAGTATATAATTATTTACCGGCGTAACTATTGAACTTTTTTATAAGAGTTTTAAAATTTTATAACTCATAGACAAATATTTTTTTTTTTAATTTTCACCCCTTGTTCATGCAAACTAAATCCTTCTACAAATCTACTTTATTATACTGTTTTGTCACTTTTAAATTTGGAATTAAGTATAGAATAAAGGAACAAAACAGTTCAATAGCTAAAATAGGTTTATGACAGGTTTGATGTATTTACGAATAAGGGGGTAAATGTATTATCGAGCAAAGCTCGCCTTGCCATAATTCAGGGAGTACTGACACCAACACCCATGTATAGAAGCGAATGCTATAGAGATGAGAGCTCTGAGAAGTATGTGTGGTATTACATTAAAAGATAGAGTTAGAAATTGTGTGATTAGAGAGAAGTGTAAACTGAAAGGCGATGTAGTGACAAAAATCGAAGTATTGCGTTGGTTTGGCCATTTGGAGAGGATGGATTGAAAGAAGAATTACGAAAGAGATTTATTTATAGCAAGAATAAAGAGATGTCGGTAGGGGCCGCCCTAGACGGACGTGTGTCGACCAAATAGGCGACGTGCTGAAGAAGAGCCAAATTAAAAGTACCCGTAACCGGCGAGCATGTATGAAAAGATTGATGAATGTGCAAGAAGCGAAGGTTTGTTTGAATCGAAGCATTTGGCGTTCCATTGTTTCTGTCTACCCTAATGGGGCACAGACGTGACAGATATGTATGCATGGATGAGGTAAGTGTTTATGGTCAAGACAGTTATATATTATATCATAAAATCACTTACGGCTGTAAAAGATTTATTTAATTTTGAAGAATTAAAAAAACCAACCTTAGACCGCCTTTATATCTATAGTTTTTATGCATGTTACGTAACTATCGTAAGTTCTGCCGCATGATTACATAACAGATCAATTAAAGATAAGTCACTCGCAATTGTTTACATTTTATATTTATCACAAATTTGTTACGTGAATAAAACTTACAGGTACAGATGTAAGCGGCCTTAAAGTATAACAGTTGATTTCATTTCACACAAGTATAGCCCGTTTTAAATATTCATTCCTAAGTCAACAACTTGTGAAACCCCAAGCAGCTATCTCAGGCTTAAAAAATACAAAGAGAACATTTAAAGAACACAATATTTTTTATGTAAAATATATTGATATACAAAAAACCCAAGATGTGCGATTAGAAAATAAAAAACCGGGACTGAAAACAGAGCGTATTCCATCAAATTATGCAGTAAGTAAGCGACGACATGATGCACGTCTTACTGTTTAAATTTTAATCCAAAATAGTCTTAAGATGTAGCATTTGAATCCGTATATGAATCTTGGATTTTTTCCTTATCAGTGATAAAATAATAACTCCATAAACTGCAAACTGGCCATTTTGAAGCCTACACTATAGAATTTACACAGTACGAAACAAATAGGTTTGAAAAAACTATAAATTATGAAGCGGATTTTATTTTATTAATATTACATGTTACTCCAATCTCTATATTACACATCTAATATTATGACATTACACGAAAAATTATAATCTAAACTACAAAATAAAATGGAGACTGTTATACCAAATGATAAACCCGTTTAACTCTATACAAATGTAACTTTATATCAATACTATTTTAATGACAGGATTGGTTAGTTTCTACAAGGAGAAAGGAAATGGAGATTTGTGCCACACATCAACATTTACAATTACGATTTACAAACTGGTAAAAACAAACAATCCCGCTGTGGAACACCTGACACATTTTACTCTAACGGTGAAAAAAAAAATTGTCTATAACTCAAAGGAAACCTCACTCGACCACAGCAGCAGCTAAAACAGTACGGTACATACGGCTCCCCTGACTAAAATCGCGACAATGCGCTTCTTAGCACATGGGACACGGCCGTGTTGTAATTACTGCATCTCTATGGTCTACCATAGACACACACTACAATTATAGACTATTTTATGGTCACGTTTATAGCAGATTTTTGTACAAAGCCATCGATGATTTAAAATTAATGACAATCAACATAGACGAAGTGGTAGTTGCATCCAATTGTTATCAAAATAAAATTACAACTACATTACTTATGGTTTCCAGACTATTTTTATGTACAAAAAATAGAGACAGTGTTGCCATCTTTCATAACAATTTAAAGTAATGTAATTGAAATTCCATTCGATTTGTACTACAAAAAAAATATTCTGCTAAATAAAACCAAATCGTACACTATTACTGGCCGAAAATATGTTTTCGTGTGTGAACTTTGATTTTCCATTTTTAAAGATGTTCATGTTTATATATTTTTTTTTAAATATGAAGAGAAACTCTTTATATCTCTCCAAATTTAAAGTTAAACATATTTAATAAACGATTTATTAACAATTCAAACACACTATGATATGATTGATTTGGTAAAATTGCCGTTGACAAAAAATATACTTAGGTGGCAACACAATGAATCTAATGTCACAGTGACAGTTCATGGACATTTCAATTTGATCCTTACCGGCTCACAATAGTGTTCGATTCGGCCCAGCAATGCACGACATTCAGTTGGCTCCAAAAGCGTCTGTAAGTTCTGGACAGTCGAACGTCTCCGAGCTGTCCGCGTGCTCTGGGTAGAACTCCCTGTATATTTTATCCAGTAACGCTTGCCTGCAATCACAATTATTATAAACTGTTACTTAGTTTTTTTTTTTCTTTTTTACCATTATAGTATAAAAATTTTAATAATGTAAAATTTTAATGCTTAAATATATATCTTGCTGTAAATGGAAGAGCATGCCAATCTGACACCTGTTTAGCTTTACATTTAAGATTGTAATGTACCTTGATGGTACTTAAAATAAATCATCGAAGCAATGCCTTATTTTTCTAAGAGACTTATATCATCCCTATCGCATTCAAAGAGTAAAAGAACAATTGTTAAATTTAAAAATTTATTACGAAGCGCCAATCAGTTGGATTATATAACAGGCATTAAAGTTTTAGGTATTTACTCTTTAGCACTCTGCGACATGTTATCACTATATTTCTGCGTAGTTAATTTGTTAGGGCATTTCCGCACTTAACCTTATATGATATGATATTATTTCGGAACGTGTTAGTGCATTCGGCAGACTTATCGGTGGTCTACTTGAAGTGGAGGAATGATATTTTGTTGTTGATGTTGTATTTACTTATTTATTGCTGGTAAATAAATTTTAATTTTTAAAATATATAACATCAATTTGGAAGTTGTTTAATTTTGTACAAGTAGTTGCACGCAACCATTTTGCATATTTTGTTTTATAGTAATAGGTGGCCAACGTCGTTGGTGACACTAAAACTATTGATATTTAGATATATATGTATATATATTGTTATTGTGTCTACTGTTTGTTGACCTAAATAAAGAGAGAAAAACCTTGTAATCGGACCAGTATACATAGAAAAAATTTAATATTAACAAAATTAATACATACACACCAGCAATTGGTTGACGAAATATAGTAAATTCATCAAATTCCCGTTATCCAATAACATATTAAAAAGCTAAGCATATATTGGAGCTGACTCTTAGGTAACATTTACTAAATCGATTTAGTAAATGTTTAGCAAAATTATTATGGTATGACCCATCGATAAATTAAACGTAAAAAAGTTCTGACGCATTTCTACTAAAAAAAAAATAACAGTTTTACCGGTTCTTAAAACAATCATTTTACTGTAATATTAATTTAAAATTTTAAATTTAAAAATATTTTATACTTGAGAATACACTTCATTGTTCATACAATGCGTCTTCGGAAAGAATTAATTAGTTTACAAATTAATATTGTCTCTATTTCAAACTGATGCGTTTTATTTTTATTTTCTCTTGTTATATATTGAAAAAATACAAGTAAATCATAAATCTAGTTATTTGAAAAATCTGAACTAATACTACATAGAGAAAAGACTTGTTTTTTTTTTTGTATGTTTGTTTGTAATGGATAAAATCAAAAACTAATAAACCGAATTTAAAAATTCTTTCACCTATAGAAAACTCGTTATCATCAGCGAATTACATGGACCGTTTTTATTAAAAAAAAAAAGCCGTACAACTTCGAGTCGGGTGGCTAGTATGAAATATAGTAATAAAATACTGACTTAGCAGCGAGACCGCCGCCGGGCGGGAGGCCAGGTATGTTCTCTTGCATCAGTTGCTTCAGCACCCACGAGAAATGGCTCGAAGTGTCTTCCCGCTCCTCCGTGCCCGCGCTCTTCTCGATCAGTGCTGTAAACACCCAACAGATGTCTTGAACTAACAGTTACATATATCAACACACACACACAAATAAGTCACACACTTAGAATAAATTCATCTCCTCCAACAAATTATTTATTACATTGAATACCAGAGGGAGACTTTGTACAAAAGTCGATTGCTTGGGTACCTCTGTCCCATTCGTGTTTCAACTGTGAAGCAGTTGTGTTTGTATGGCTGTGTTTCAGTTTGAAGGGTGGGATATGGCGTGAATTTACTGGGTACAGAGGAATGAAAAAATACACCTGAATCCTCAGGAATAGCAACGCATGGGGGTATCATGGGCGAAACAGTATACTCTGTTATGTCCATGGTACTGTTCATGTCTATAGGCGACGGTTACCGCTTTCCATTAGGTGGGCCGTCAGCTTGTTTGCCATTCTAAGTTGTATAAAAAAAAAAACAACATAATACGAGCGCTTTTTTATGCTTTTTTGTTTTTCATTCTTTTATCTCTTTTACTGTGTATTATGTGTATGTTTGTATTGTAATTTGTGTGCTGTAAGTAATGCAAATAAATCTATCTATCTATCATAGTAAAAAACATTGCTGATTGAAGCTCTGATGATCTGCTGTACAAGTATTCTTATACCTATCTCAGGCACCAGTCTCTAAAATTACATTTATAATTCAATATTGTTACCATTACATCAAACGTTAACTGTCCACTGTTGGACATAGACCTCCCCCATAGACTACTATAAGAAACGGTCCGAAGACAAAGGACTGGGGGCCATCTCCTCCTTATATTTAGCATTGGGGGGTTTTTCCAGTAGTTGCCACGCATGGCAGACGGGTTGGCAACAGCAGTCAGGCCTCGGTGATGTTTTAAGAGGGACGATGCTGCCCATTAAGTACCCATAGTTGCCTCTTACGACACCCACTGGAAAGGAAGGGGTGGTCTATTCTATGGCGGGACCACACCGCAACATAATTCACAATAGTACAAGCATATTTAATAATAATTTACTCTAATGGAATGTGAAAAGAAAATAAACTAATTATTATTAAAAAAAATCCAATTCGAAGATACAATTAACACGATGTACCTACAGTTGTGTAAACACAGATACTTAGCGGCAGAAGCGTGTGAATCTCTATATTAAATATTATATGTAAATAATAATGTAATGTAAATTGGACTCTTATTTACGCACTAAGTCTCTCATTTGGACCGTTGTACGTATGAGTCATGGGCTAGTACAGCCAGCTAAACTCCGCCCAGTAACACAGAAGCTTCCTGGTATCTTCACAGGTCTTACGGAGCGACTGTTCCAAGGATTTCTGAACGCTATATATATATATATATATATATACTAGCGGACCCTGCAAACCTTGTTTTGCCATATACGTTGTAAGGAATTAAAGTATACTTTAAGTTAATAAATTATTTAAGATAACAAATATTTATATATATTTATATATATATATATATATATATATATATATATATATATATATATATATATATATATATATATATAAACTAAGACAAGGTGGTATAATACATTTTATAGGTGTTACCAGTAAGATAAAATAGTACAATATCTTGGGCAACCTTGGTGGTTTGCTGTTTAAAACACTACCTCGCCCTCTAACAACTACAGAACGCACAATACAATCGCTTATATTCATGTATATGTCAATTTGTATTGGTTTCGACATTTTCTATTATTACACGCCTCTATTGTTTACAAAAAATAGGATACATACCGAAGTATGTCAGTAGATATGCTTATACCTTGTTTATATTTTTATTTACATTTACGACCTTAGTTTATCTCATATAAATAATAATTAACCGTTATCTAGTATCCATAGCAGAAACTTAGCTCATTCAAGAACTGCATGGCTCTGTGTTTTTACTCAAGTAAATTATGAGCGTGAGCATATGCAGTTGTGTTTGCATGGCTGTGTTTAGGTTTGAAGGGTGGAATATGGCAGTGAATTTATAGGGTACAGAGGGATAACACCCGAGTCCTTAGGAATGGCAACACAGGGGGGTATCATGGGCGAAACAGTATACTCTGTTATGTCCATGGTATTGCTCATGTCTAAAGGCGACGGTTTGGCAAACCATTCAAAATATACTATTTTTATACATATAATAAGCAAATAATGATATGAACCATCAAGTACCTAGAGTATTTCTTAAAAAAATATCACTCCACGAATCACTGACTGCCTGAAATAATACCGGAATCGGAATCATGGGGGGTATCATGGGCGAAATAGTATACTCTGTTATGTCCATGGTACTGCTTATGTCTATAGTCGACGATTACCACTTTCCATCAGGTGGACCGAAAAAAAAAACGAACTCATATTGTCCATGTGGACAAAATTGAAAGACGGATAGTTACAATCACAGTACAGGCTAAGGTTACAGGATTCGTCGCATTTAGTAATGTACTCATTCGCGCGCGCTTCGTGACGTCGCGTGCCGGGTAACCAATGACGTAGTTTTTTTTTTTTTTCAGTCAATACAAAATAAAAGAGCGTGCCGCAATCAAATATAAATCATGTTAACTTTACAATAGAGTGCTATTTTAAAATTTGCACCCTTTCATGTTACAGACTATTCGAAACAATATGGGACCATATTTTTGCCCGTAACCGTTTTGCATAATATTAATCGGTATTATAGTTGTTTCTTTTTTTAAATGAATGGTAACCCCGCCTGCGCTAACAGTATACGCTGGCGGGGCACCAATAAGGAATGAAAGGGAGAATGAAAAGGCAGGTCAGTGAGCCCATCATTATGAATTATAATACACTTGGAATAGAACACGATGGATACCAGGGGAGTATTGCTAGCAATGGGGTTGCTAATCCCCACTATTAACAATCCCATCTCCCTCTTAACAATTCCCTCCAAGCTGTGATTGTTTTTTTTTATAGATGAAAATGGTATGGTAACCCCGCCTGCGCTAACGGGATGCGCTGGCGGGGCACCAGTGAAGAGTGATAGATGAGAATGAAAACAGGCCAGTTAGCCCATCATGATGAATTCATCAGGAATTAACCATGATAGTTTCCAGGGAGAACAGCGAGGAGGTCGACCTGGTTGGATATATTGCTAGCAATGGGATTCTCAGTCTCCATTACTAACAACCCCTTTCCCCCAGCTGTGATTGTTAGGTATACTGGCGTTAGTATAGCAGCAAGGTTATGACGAGTTCGAAGGTCATACTATATCAGCGACGTCGGAAACCAATAAATGATTATTGTGACACGTTATCAGTAGGTCATCTGTAATGATTCTATTATACTATAAATTATCATATACCGCATAGGTATACTAGTTGCGACCGGTGAAATTTGCACTGTTATTTCAACATGTGAGGATTTATTTTGTGAAATTTAAAATGACGGTTATTTTAAACTTTTCTACAAATGTCGTGATGAAATTCTAGGAGTCACTTTTTTTTTATTTCGAATTAGGCACACCAACAGTATACATAATTATACATAAATTAAAATAACATTTCTTATGTAGTATGCTGATATGCATACCTATAGCAGGCGTACACAACATTGACTACAGATTATATGCATATAAATGTCATAATATAATTAATATAATAAATTAAATTTACAATTACATATTCTTTATTACAAAATTTAAAATTCAAATTACGTTGGAAACCATCATGCTGAATTCCAGGTGTATTTTTTTTTATGGGTCATAATGGAATTGTAACCCCACCCGCGCTATCGGTATACACCGGCGGGGCACCAGTGAAGGATGATAGCTGAGGATAAAGCAGGTCAGCTAGCCCATCGTGACGAAATCAAAAAGAATTATTCACGATGGTTTCCAGGCGAAACCACGTGGAGGTCGACCTAATAGGACACATTGCGAGCAATGGGGCTGTCAAACTCCATTGCTAACAATCCCTTTCCTCCCATTCCAAGTGTATTCACCATGATGGGCTAGCTGACCTGCTTTATCCTCAGCTATCATCCCTCACTGGTGCCCCGCCATCGTATACCGTTAGCGTAGGCGGTTACCATTTCATTATCATCTACTAAAAAGAAAGAAAGACTTATCCACTTTCACTTATTATTATAATCCTGGTGAATTGGTTATAACATCCAAGTAATCTGACTTCATCCTCACCTATCATTTCTCACTGGTACATCACTAGGGCAAACGAGGGGAGAAAGAGATTGTTAGACCCTATCAGGTCGACCTCCACGCGGTTCCCCCTGGAAACCGTTTTGATTAAATTCTTTATTAATTCGTCACTATGGGCCAACTGACCTGTTTCATCCTCATCTATCATCTCTCTGGTGTCCCGCCAGTGTATACCGATAGCGCGGGTGGGGTTACCATTCCATTTTTATTCATTAAACTCAATTTTTTACGCCTCGCTCTGCATTTATTGTACCCGCCTATCTAACCTACATTATTTCAGTAAAATAACTCAATCCTATGATTACATTGATAGAATTTCATTTCCATTGTTTCATTACATCTGTTATCTATAAATATCTCTGTTTGACCAATGATCTAGGTTTAGATATGAGTCACATTCATAATCACCTTGAAACTTCTACTTCAGAACTATACGAGTGGATATGTAAAGGCCCACCCCAGCTTAGCGCGGGTGCAACATGTTTGCTAACATTAAGTCAAGCGTCAGAAATGTTTTCCCGCGATTCGACTAAGAAACATCTACTTTTATACTGCCCACCTGTATTATTTCAAATATTTTTCTATATTTAGTTTTCACTCACGACTTCGTCAACGTGATCGCGATATGAAGTAGCCTATATCTTTTTCCATCCCAACTAATACTTACCTACCCATATCTAATTAAGGCACCCAGAAGTAACATTTATAATATTATTTATTTATTATTATTTATATTTTGTTTCTTTCTTTCTATTAGTAAAAATATATGGTATATGTCTCATCTATTTTTTTATATATTTTTTTATTTAGAGGCTTTTATCCTGATATC